ATACGAAAAGTCTGTTTCTTCGCGAGGGTTTCTGATTGCACTGGGTATATCTATATTTTGAAAAGGAAAAAAATGTGACAACTTTGTTTTCGTTTATTTATGTTTATAGTATCATAGCTTTAATTCAACATAATCTGAGAACGATGATATCATCTTTGATAAAGCACAGAATACAGGTGTCGGGGGGAAACAGACAGATCTGAAAGCCCCTCCCCACAGTATACACAATACTAAGGAAACAGCATGATAATAAGCAGGATTTCTTAATTTTGTAGACATACAGGAATGTTTGCACTATAACCCAAAATATTTAATACAACAGAAATTAACATATTCATCCGTAATCATCACCATTATCATAAAGAATCATCACAAACTCCACATTAACATAGTTATAAACACAATTTCAACATTGTATAATCTTAAAACAAAAAAGTCATATACATTGGGTTGTCAGAATTGTGTGTAATACTATGATCACCAACGTTTTTAATATAAGGTTTATAATAATGACTAATGACAATGTAAACATTGCGATTAAAACATTTTGAATGAGAGTGAAAAAACGTTTTGAGATTTATCATTGCAGAAAAACAAAATAATAAAAGTATATTAACAACCTAATTACAAATAAAATGTAAGCATTATAAATATCTTGACATCATGACAATAAACGGAATGTTGACAGCATGACCATAAACGGAATGTTGACATCATGACAATAAACGGAATGTTAAATCATGACAATAAACAGAATGTTAAATTCTGAAAATCAACAGAATGTTAGCATTATGATTATAAACAGAATGTTAGCATCATGATTATAAACAGAATGTTAGCATCATGATTATAAACAGAATGTTAGCATTATGATTATAAACAGAATGTTAGCATCATGATTATAAACAGAATGTTGTCATCATGATTATAAACAGAATCTTGTCATCATGATTATAAACACATATATCCTAAGTAGAGATTACCAGTATAATGCTTCCCCTGTGTTAACACACAGATAAACCTGTATAAATAATGACTTGTTGACCACCAGACCTTCTATCAGTTTACTTCCTCCAAATTCACTCTTCTACTGTTAGTTTCACATTTTTCCTCTTTTTGAGTTCTAACTATCTTGAGATTTAATTTGAAAAGCAAGCATTCATACTGACTTATAAGAAACCTGTATTACAGGAAATAATGACGAAAATCCATCAATGTATCTATGATTTGACATCAGACTGATTCTGTTGATGCTATGATAATCAAATATGTAATGACTTGGTCCATTCCAAATTTCCTCCAACTCATCCGTTGCTCCTAAAAATATCCACTTTTTTTCAAAACATATTTCAATATTTCTTTCCGAAGGATTTTTTTTCAAAGATGACGCCAGTCCCAAAATGTAACAGAAGTCCTTAAATGTTAACAAGATGGGAACAAAGTAAATCCAGAACCTTAAGAATTCAACAATTCAAGATTTTTTCCTTTCCAATAAAATCCAATAACAATCTTCACATAATAGATGAAATTGTAGAGAATATATGATTACGTGTATCATAACCAAAATTAGAGTTAAAGGCAAATTATTCACAAAAGAAGTATTTTTTCAGTCTAAATTGGAAAAAAAATATATATAAAAATAAAATCTAAAAAACAAAATTCGTTTAAATAACTAACGGTAACAATGGGAGCCAATCAAAATTATCATACAACAATTGTGTAATAATGGTCAGGTAGTGCATTTTCCTCATTCACTTACTAGGCGTCTTGGGCGCGATTCTCAGAACAGATGTAAAAAGGTAAAGAGGTCACCTGCCCGGCGACATGGGTTTTCTATGGGTACTACAATTTCCTCTCAAGTTGAAAGCCCCCAAGCTTCCATCCAGGCCAATAAGAGTGATTCATATAAGCTTTAAGCTTGTTTCGCAACTGTTGTAAAATAAATAAAGTTCATATTTTCAATAGCTGTAAGGATATGGATTACAGGATGTGATAATCCAGCAAGATTTTATATGATCTAAACGGGACCTCTCATAGACAGATTGGAACACATACTTTTTTCAGTGTACAGAGATTCGAACAAAACAAATATCATGACAAAAGTCAATAAAATAAAGCTAACATTAAAAAATAAATATGTATTAGTGTGAATTTTTAAGTGTCAGTCAGTTTTTACTTTATGAAGAAAAAAAATGTTATTTATAATGTAAACTCTACGTGTCATTCCATAAACTAAAACCACTACAGATCAAATTTGAGGTATTGGAGAAAAAACAACACAATATAACAAAACACCATTATCAAAATTAAGAGTTTCAAAGTGACAATATAGAAAAGGAATGTAACAGGCTATATATATATATATAGAAATATTTTATATTTTCCACAATAACAGAATTAGAAAACAAATGATAAAATTTTATCTGATGATTGAAAGTAGAATATCTTGATAAACTACCAACACAACAGCCTTTGACATCATTTTAAATATCAAACACAAAATTTGAAACAACACAACTATGTCATATAAATCACATTCACAAGTCATTTTACACCTTTTGTCAAGACATTCCAATGTCTACATTAATTAACTCTACAGTATAACTACCATTTAAAACATTATAAAGGTATAAACCCAATAGTTGATCTTCAATATTATTTCACGAGATATACATTAAAGAGTATAATGCTATATTTTGATCCCATTCTACAGAAATATTAACATAAATACTTTATACTCCCTAGTATTTCTTCCAAATTTGTTTGAGTACCATAAAATAAATAAATTTTACATTTTATTTATTTCGGAGACACTCAAGATTGAAACAATTTTGTAAGTTTCAATCACTGCCAATTCCTATTGGGATAGCACAAAAACAATTTCAGTATCATTGTGACTTTCTTGTGATGTAGAAAGAGAGTTATGTGACGTTAAGGAATACCGGTTTAGAATATCAATGATTTGACATTATGAACGATTTTCCTCTCAGTATGCCCGTCTTTTCACTCAGATTATCTCACAGTCAAAAACTAAAAGCCATATTAATATCACCTTAATAACGGTAAAATGTTGAATTGTCTTGAAATTTGAGGCATCATACCTACCTGTTAATTGTCCCGTAATCCCAGATCTAATAAAGACTTTTTAACAATTTGTTATAATTACTTTATGCCTTTGGTGAATTTTTTACAAAAATTTAATGCAGTATGTTTACCACAGTGAGTTATTCAAATTTTCCCAAATTTTTCCATTTCTCCTGCCCCACCTCCTTCCAAAAAAAAAAAAAAGAGCTTTATTTGTAAGGTATTAACATCATGGAAAATAATCATGTTAAGAAATAACTGTAGGATGTCAGCAAAATTAATTTGGATGAGAAAAGAAAGAAAAATTTGAAATTTGTGAACTTCATTTTCAAAAAATACATCCAATGATTTGCATGAAAAAAATTTGACATTCTGTTAGCGTAAGGAAAGAGCCTAGAGTATCAGAAAGCCTAAGATGAACAACACCGGAAGTTCAACAATGGCCAGAAAAAAAAAAGGAATTATCTCAAGACTACCATAAACACGAAATGTATATGACAAGGTTAATATTGGATAATGATAAAGTAGCCAAAGAGTTCAAATATTTACATCAATAATTTTTCAGTAATGTAAGGATGAAATATTTCATCTTGTTCCTTCCCTTGAAAGGATAAATGTAACATAACTTTACAATGAATTTCAAATTATTTCAAATCCTTTATAAATACCATATATATGAAATTATTTTGAAATTATTCTCTAATACTATGCCAAAGTTTTGAATAACTGAATTATCATGTGACTACAATGGATTATGCCTTTAACCTCACAAAGGGACATAACTCTTATATTAGGTCATCAATCTGATATAACAGATCATGTACCTTGATACTTCTGAAGATAGTGAGAAATTGTAAACATAAGTCTGTGACCTTGGTAGAGCACAAAACTTTATCTTAAAAAGACACCTCGATCTTAAAAGAACACAGCATCCTGAAAAGTTCAGCATCCTTAGAAGTTCCTGTTAGCAGTGATAATGAAACAAACTGAGAACCCTACAACAGTATATGGTTATATAAAATCTTGGATAAATAAGACATAGTTACTAATAAATTATTAAATAAATTTTCAACAATGGGAGCTGAAACACTGATGGATGAAAAATAGGGCTTGCTCAGTAGATTCATCCAATATCCCCTTGAACTATTTCAGAAAAAAATGATAACAACCTTAGAATTTTGAATTCTTATTGCACATCTATATGTATATATGTATACTGCTCAGTTTTTTGTTTAGCCCTTTTATCAATAGCGAAAATGTGTATGTGGATCAGGCGAATTTTACACCAAAATGAACAGATTTATGCATGAGCAAACAAAAACATGAGCCGATGTTTCCACTAATATAAAGTATCTGTAAGTCACAAGTTTAGCAGATTCAAAAAATGAAGTCAACAAATTATATTTCTGTTCTGGGTTACAAAAGGAAAATATTACAGTAGTTGTGAAGGCATTAAATTTTCTTTTCCAGAATGTTTATGTTTGTGCAGACCTTTTTAAAATCCTGACTTGATCAATGCTTGTCTAAGAATTCTGATGAAAAATGATAAGTGCCCCTTCATTAAGAAGAATAAGCACTGGAGATTCAGGGTCTATGGTTAAAGAAGGTAGGATAACACATGTATATTCAATTTCTCTTATACCTTCTATTTAATTCTATAACAAGTGGCTTACTAACCGGAAGCTGCAGATGTAGAAAAACTTACATAATATCAACACAATTATCATACTCTCTTCATTATATCAATATTATGTTACAAAACAAAAATTCCACATAAGTATTAAGTATTACCTTTAGCTAACAAAAGCTAATTTCTCAGACCAAAATTAAACAATACCAGGAAGGTACTTAATACATAATATAAGGGACCTTCTTAATCTGGTTTTTGTAAATAATAAAAAAAAACAGATGGATTTTAGCATCTCTAAATTCTGCAGTACACATTCATTTACTAGACAACTATAAATCTCTGTATCTGGAAATTAATTCCTTGTAGTCACTGTAGATTGTATGAATTCCTTGTAGTCATTGTAGATTGTATGAATTCCTTGTGGTCATTGTAGATTGTATGAAATGATTGACATATTGCAAGATTGGATCATTCTAATACTACAAAAGAAAGAATCTGTACACTTCTACATCTGGGCATCTGTCATGTCGTCTGCTGATCTCCCGATGGCATCTGGATTGGAAAGAGGATCAAGGTCTGCAAATAAGTTGAACCATGCTGACATGTCCTTTTTCTCGCCCTGGCAAGCAAAAAAATGTTATATTGGTAAAATGTAGTCACAAAAACCAATGTGTTTCATCACAAAAACAATTTTATATTTACAGGCGGATTTGTGGCCTTGATGGTCACCTGGGATATGTAATATTGAATATAAAGGTTATAGGGTAAGAAGCCTTCAAGTGTCATTTAAAAGTAATTGTGACATTGATGAAAGTAAGCCAGTGTCAATATTTGCATACCAATAAAATCGTCATCCTATACTTACCAATTCTCATCCCGTTTGTGCTCAAAATGCATTTTTTCTACAACAATTATAGTAAACTCACCTCCTCCCCAGGGAGAAATGTGAAACCCTCAGGTCATCAAATTCACAATTTCAGCAAAGCTCCTTAAAGCCCCTCCAATTGCAAAAAGCATTTGAATCTACCACATGCAAGTGTTTTAGAAGAAGACTTTGGAAATTTAAGTCCATCTGACCTTTTTGGCCCCACCCATCAGCCCATGGGGGTCAGCCAGGTTCGATATTTGCATACCATCAAGCTGTCATCCTTCGTTTATAATTCTAACAAATTCTGAAATATTTCCATATATAAACTATAGTAAACTTTACCACTTGCCTACAGGGGAATGTGAGACCCCTGAGAATGAAATTCATGAAATTCACAATTTTTTGTAATGCACCTTAACCCTTTCGGCACCGTAGGCGACTAAAGTCGACATCCAGACAGGCCGTAGGTGACTTTGGTTGACAAGTTAATATCTTTATTATTAGCCAAGATATGCTTGTTTCAGTAATGCTGCCATTGTTTTCAGATATTTTCCTGAAAATATTTGGCGCTGAGCTGTACATTTTAAGAGATAATTGGTGCCGAAAGGGTTAAGACCCCTCCAATCTCCCTTACCTCTATACCAGCTCCTTTGGGTTATAAAGTTTGTATCCTCCTTACCTCTATACCAGCTCCTTTGGGTTATAAAGTTCTATCTCCCTTACCTTTTTACTAGCTCCTTTAGGTTTTGATTGCTGTGGTTCCTGTCCGGAAGCATTGTTTTGTTTGGAGCTTTGTGTTGCTGTGTGAGTTGGGGCACCTTCAATAGAAACACAAAGTAACTTAAGGTGTATTTCTGTCTTGAGAATGATATACAAGTAATATGACAACCCATACCACTACTGTTTTTTGAAAAAAAAGTTTATTTATTTATTTTTTTTTGTTTCAAGTAAGCATTTAACATCTTCACTATAGCCACAACATGAAATGTGTTACACAAGTTCAGAGAAAAGGACCATATACATCAAGCCTGTGGTTCTATTTCAGTGACTATCATACCAGGTATTTTGTTAGGAAGTAAAGAATATCTTTGATGCTAACAATACAGCTGTGAGTCTTTCTATTGGTTAAGTATATTGTAAAGTATTGCTGGAAATCACGAACTTGAGAAAGTGTCCCAATATGCTTATTATTAGAATGGGTTCGGTGTTTTATTCAATTTTACACGAATGATGATTTTTACACAACACCTGCTAAGTTGTATGTAAAGCAGTGTATCTTTACCTCTAACGTTATTAGAGGTAAAATTACTCTTTGTTTTTTTGTTTTTCTTTCATATCACAATTGTTGTCCCTATATAAAGTCCATCCATAAAATTTATGAAGTATAAGGGAGATAATTCAAACAGCTTTATCAGAATTTCCTTTTTGTAATAAAAAAAGTATTTAATTTGAATGCTATTTAAGAGTGATTGAATTTTTTTCCATGGCCCAATCAGGATAAATGCTGGACTCTTGAACAGAGTTTAACTCCAATCAAAGACAGAATATATATATACCTTAACTTCCATCAATACAAAGAAAACAAACAAGACAGGCAGATATTTCAAGATACTGAGAGGAATCCAAGGACTTTAATAGAATGTGAATTTTGACCAATCAAATTAAAGGAATCTCAAACTTACTAGACTGATTGGTTATGTGCTTGCTGAGGTCAAGCAGATTTGATGGCATGAACTCGGCGGGCTGAGCTGGTTGGTCACTTTCCACAGGTGTGTAAGTTGTTCCTGATGAGAGTGGCACGTTTCCAAATACTGCCTGCCATTCCCGCGTGAAGTCATCCCCTCCTGTTGATGGGGCATTTAAAATCTCATTGAGAATCGTCATATCATCCTTCTCCGCCTCATCCTGTTCAATATCATCGCAAAGCAGGTCCTGTTTACCTGTTAAAAGATAATCTTTTACAGATTAATTTGGTAACTCACTCTTCCTGCTTCCAATTATTTACTGAATCTCAATATCTTTCTTTTCTAGTTTTAGTTTTAAAAATTGGTGGCATATAATGTGTTTGGGAAAAAAATGCTACAGAGATAAACAAGAGGTCTGTTGGCCCTTTCCGATATTAGGCATACAGATCAAAGCCTGTAGAGCATTGAAAAAGTATATGGAAATTACAGAAATTTTTATAAATCCAACTCTCAGCGCTCTGCACTGAAGTTTTCTAAAACATTGAAACCTCCTTGACTAAATCATTTTTACCTGTTTTCTAATTCCAACTGAAAATGAATACCAATACTCAAACATTTGACCCCTGTGACCTTGAAAGTCAGTCAAGGTCATTAAATTGAACAAACTTGGTAGACCTTCATCTCAGGATGCTACAGTCCCCATATCAGAACTGTTAGTAAAAATCATTAATAAGTACTTACATTATAATGCATTATCTAAACTTGTTACTGGCTTATTTTCCATTATTAAGAAAAAGTGGTTTAAAGATTTTAACACATTTGATTCCTGCGACCTTTAAGCTCTTCACTACGCCTTGTGATTCCGTTAAAAATATACCATATTTAAAATTAGACCTTACTTTTACATGGCAAGCATAATACATGATACAAACCAGCCTGTCCAACACACAATATTTCTGTGTACCATGCTATAACTTTTGGAATGTACAGTATGTATCTCTTCACAAAAGTACATTGACAGACAACAACGCAAGTTAGAACATGGCAAACACATTAGCACTCTGCTTTAGGCCATTTACCTTAAAATAACTTATTTATTTATATAAAATATTTGTAATGGCCACTTAAACTCATGCAGAATGACTTTTAATCCTGATAACAATATATTTTCTAATGAGTGATACCGAGGCTGACTGAGCAATACAAACAAAGTATCAATACAATGTTTACAGACCTATAATTGAAATCTTAATGATATTTGCATTTCTTCCTCGAACACTGAAATATATACAAATGACGAAAGTAAGACCTGTACATTTAGTATTTCTTGCATGAAGCCCAGTGGATGACAATGGTGACTGAATAGGCCTTAATGTCCTCAGGTAAGTTATGATTAGCTCCCAACAAACCTCCCTTATTTGGAAGGAGAAGACAACTTTATATCTTCTTGTCATCTTTTCAACATATGTCAAAGTAAAATTAATATGTGTTGATTTTTACTGAAACAATTTCATTTGGTGGAGTACAGAACAGCTGAAATTTTTTTTACACGATACTATACAAGTTTTATATTAGCAGTTTTAATTACCACTAAAAACAAGAGGTCCAGGTAATTTCTCTTTGCAATTTTGTTGGACTTCATACTAGGAACATAGCATCCAAACATCATGCCTTTAGGTCACATAGTGCATGAGAAGAAATCATTTAAATGTTTTAACAAATTTGACCCCTGTGACCTTGAATATATGTCATGGTCATTTCTTTTTCCAAACTATATCAAAACATTTGGTCAATTGGTTATTGAGAAGAAGTTATTTAAAGGAAAAAGTTGATACCATCCAGGCGGAAAGAGTTCCTTTTAAACCCCCCACCCAAAATGACTACCAGTAGGCTATAATAAGTATCTAAAAGGGTTTATTTTAAGGGGTACCAAGAAAATTGGGGCATGGTCTTAAAATCAACCCTTTCAGACACTTGTTTTATATTTACCAGGTATAATAACCCATTGGTAGCCACTTTGGGTAGGGGGTTCAAAAGGAACTATTACCATCCAGGCCTGGTGAGCTAAAATTTGATTGTTTCTCTTTGTGTTTAATCATATACAAAAGATAACTGAAAAGCAGTTTCTAACTTCCTCCTACAAATTTTGAAATATTGGTAGGCGTAGTATAATATAGATGAATAATATTTGTAACTGTTATGTTGACAGTAAAAATTGAAAGGCATAAAATATGAGACTAAAATATTTGTATGTAATGTCCTTTATACCTTGATAATAGTGAATAGCAATATTGAATGTCATACTATACCATATGAACTTGAAATCAATTTGAAACTTCATTACTGAAATCGCCCACACATTAAAATTCAAAGTTCGATACTAGTCAATTAAATATTTACAAAACAGCTATCCAACGGCAAGACTCTATTTATAATGACAATACCAGCACTTTTACAATGTCCTTACTCTGAATACCAGATCAGTAAGCATTATAGATAAGTCTGGCAGACGTTTTGTCATTCACAGCTCTTGTATCATGTGTCATGTAATGGCTTAAGTAAAAGCTCAGCTATTTAAGAGTAGTGAAAGGCCTCTTTTCAATACCTGATCAATCAACTAATCAATAATCTAAGAAAGCATTGTCAGCTTAATACTGGATTTTTAAAAATAATAATGACTACTACAATAAAACAACAAGGATTGTGGTAATCAATTTTCCAGTAACATTGATTAATATTTAAACCTTTTGTTACATAATAAAGAGTTTTAGCATCACAGTTTCATTTTTTGTAAGTTTCCTATAATTCAATGCTAAACGATTGTTTTCTACTATGATGCTCTATAGAACTAAACTCGGGGAAAACAACCAATCAACTGAATATTCAATACAGTACAATCAGACCACTTGCAATGACAGACACAGGCGACTGATTATAGTCTGTTCCATATTTTGCTTTTTTCACGAAGGTTACAGGTTGCAAATTTTGAAAAGCTCAAAATAAGACAAGGCAAACAATTTTCATGGCTCCAGAAACTTTAAAAATTAGTTGTTTTAACTTACTTATATCTCTAGCAACTTTAAAGGGCACTTGTCTGACTTGTATATTGCTTAAAGGAAAGGAATGAATTAAGGAGATGCAAATATAAGTTTTAAAAATTTCCTTTCCATTAAAACTTGTTTAAATTTGTTACATTTGTCCCCTGAATCAACTTGACCAGATCAGGAATCCTAAAATAAATAAAGATCTTTGATTGACTTCAAGTAGATTATCGCGACTAAAATGAAGATTTTTTAAATAAAAAACCCCAAATCTTGGTTAATGTAATAATTGGCATAAACAACACAGAAAAAAATTTCTGGAGTGAAGTTGAAAGAGTTCAACATGTTAACACTGCATGAAAAACTTAATCTGTTAAGGAGCTTTTCTGGAACACACTATAATAGCCAGTGGGATTACAATAGCACTGGTGCCATTGACAGTGTCGTCGTAGGTAACTTAAAAACATACCTTCTATGACAGTTCTGTGTAACATCTATCACAGACACCTACCAACCCTAGACAGGTGAGTTTTATATAACTAACTCAGCAGCCTATAGCTATGTTGTGTAATATTATCACTAAATCTAGATCTTAATTCCTTTAAGATAAAGTCATATCACTGAATCTTGGAAATGTAAAAGTGCAGAAAATAGAGACAAAGTACATGTTTTAACATTTTCTCGGGAGTTTACGTAAGAAAAACCTCAGGTAGCAGAAGACTGTTTGAACCTTGATATAAATGTAGACCCTGGACCTTTTGTTGACTATATCGGTGCTCTAGTGATACTCATCACTAAAGTAAATCAATTTTGAGTATAGTGTATCAAGAGGACATCCTTACTTCAAGAAATGACCCGAGAATTATGGATTACTTCCCCTTAATTCCCATAGTGTAACAGTGTCACTGATGAAGATTTCTAATTCTTAACTTAAAGGTAAAGGTTTTTTTTCCAGGTAAGAGTTACTTCCCATGACAAACCAATTACCAGTCAATTTTGATGCTGTTTATCAATATAAAAACCTGGATAGCAATAGGTATTGGGGTTGGCAGGTGACCTTATGAGTGTAATATAAATGTGTTGTAGAACATTGTATATCAACATTCCTTCTATGCACTACTTTGATAAGGTTCCTATCAGTATGAAAACCGATACAAATTTGTGCCATGCATTGCAATAATTTAGTACATATTGTATATACTATTGCATTAAGCAAAGGGAGTCAACATTGTCTCTAACTTAAAGTTAGGGAGATGGGCTTATCAGTGGACAATATGGCATTGGCAGCGATCTCTACTATAACTGAAGTAGATGTGGATTGACTTATTACCAGGCATAGGTGTATTTGCTCAATAAATATGAGAAGAGTATATCTTTGCTGATCAGTGATAAAAAAAAAAAAAAAAATAACACAGCCCGGAGATAGACATCTGAAATCTTCCCACAAAAATATATAGGAATGTCTGTGTTGACTCAAATATTTCACACATTCCTCATATCCTTTCCAGACAACATAAATATAAGAGAATCTCCAAATTTAGAGGTATAGTTGTGGTGTAATACTTTGTGTTGCAGTTAAGTGATTTATATAAACACTAACCAAGATGCTATTGATTTTAGACTGGTTGACTGGATGTGTCTAACAATGTTTGTTTTACTTTTCTTTATTTCAAGGTGACCATGGAGAGAGGTAATACTTCCGGGGTTAGTGGGGAGGGTAAACAAACATTGGCAGAGCTGCTGGAAACAGATTTCCTGAAATGCCCAGGCTGTTCTAACCAGTTTACCATCCCCCTCCTTCTGCCCTGTCTCCACAGCCTGTGTGTGGAATGTGTTCAGAGACTCAGCAGGTCCAATGTACAAGACAACAGTAGCCAAAATAGTGATTCCAAAGACAAGACAACAAAAAAGTTCCAATCTGAAGACAACACTAGCAAGGAATCCCATTCAGACAAAAAACCACAAACTACGCAGAATATTCCATCCAGTGATTCAGGTTATTCATCGACAGAAAATGAAGGTAAAAGTAGATCCTCCAAGGTTGAAGAAAGTGATATAGAGGAAGTGTTTCCTTGTCCAACATGTGCATCCAGAATGAATGCACAAAACTTCCCCATCAACAACTTCCTGAAACATCTGGTGGAGCTCTTCACATACAAACACGGCCCCACGCCACCATGTGATTACTGTGCCTTTACAGGAAAGTCATCTCTTGCAACTGCACTTTGTCTTGACTGTCGGGATCACATTTGTGACAGCTGCAGTGATGCCCATCACCGTACAAAAGTCACACGCAGTCACCAGGTGGCACCATACCAACAAATCAAAATGGGAATGTACGACCATGATATCCGGGCACATCAACTACTGATGTGCATATACCATCCCCAGGAATGTGTGACAACATTTTGCAACAAGTGTGAGGATATTGTCTGTGGCCAATGTATGTCATCAGATCACCAGGGTCATAGCACTTGCTCAATAGACACTGCCATGCCCCGGTATAGATTGACAATGGAAAGTATGCTGAGAGGTCTCGTCAAACAAATTCCGTCTATCACTAAGTATTGTACCTTCCTAGCTACTCTCCGTTCAACTGTAGAGGAATCAAAGTTAAAACTTTTCTCTGGTTTAGAAAACCAAGCAAACATGCTTCATACTATGATCGACGAGTACAAAACCACAACGATGAACCGTGTCGCATCTGCATGTGCAAAAGAGAAACAATTGTTGGAGGAGAAAATTCTTGGATTGGAACAGGCACAACACTCCCTAGATGATAATGCACAATACTTGGAGCGCCTCCTAGCTCATGGACAAGGGGAAGAACTCTTGTCACTTCACCATTTGGTCACACGTCGCCTCACACAACTTAAACATCTCGAACTGGACGGCATTAACAACAAGCTTGGTCTTAACTTCACCCCAACATGTCCGACCAAGGAAGCAGTATCCATTCTGTTTGGCACCCTCAGTCTAGGACATGTACCTCTGGCTAACAATGAATCTGCTGCAATGACAACCAGTCTTGCCTCCACATTGCTGCCTCCAGTTCGGAACACCCCTCAAAAAACGATTTCATTTTCATCCAAGTGTAATGAGGATATAAAGGATGTGTGGCCTACAGGAGTAGCCATCACCAAGGACAACAACTTTGTCATAGCTGACCGTGACAACAAAAACATCAAAGTTTTCAGTAGAAATGGTGAGAAGAAGCTTGTATTTTGTGGGGAGGGTGAAGGAAAGATTGGAACACCATTTGATTTAACTGTGTTAGCAAACTCAAACATTGCTGTTACAGATCGTGAATGTGAGGATGTCAAGGTGTTTACACCAACAGGCAGGCATGTCTTCTCAATCAAAGGACATTTTCGTAACCCGCGTGGCATCACCACTAATAACAATGGCCAAATCATAGTAGTGGACTGTCAGAAACTCCAACTGACTGTACATGATCCAAAAGACGGGCGACTCATGAACACCATCTCCGCCCGTACCAAGGAGGGCACAAATGCACTTGTCGACCCCTTCTATGTGTCTGTCAACAGTCTTGGGAACATCTTGGTCACAGACACTGCTGCACCTAACATAAAGGTATTCTCCCCCACGGGAGAGTACCTGTCCCAACAAGGTACATATGGCACACGTGATAACCAAACACTGCAACCCTACGGTGTTTGTTGTGACAGGTATGGTCATCTATTTGTGGCCGATAATAACAATGACAGGGTCTTTCTCCTAAAACCGGACGGTCAGTTCCAGCGGCCACTTCTGACACAGGCTGATGGCCTGTGGCACCCAATGGCATTAACTACCACTAATGACACACTGGTGGTCACTGAAGCACTCGGTGAGGTCAAGGTCTACAGATACGTGTGACAGAGAAAAGACAATGACTTCATAGTAAAAGACAAATTCTTCACTGCGTATTTATTCACATCAAATTTACCACTATTTTATTCATATATTAAAGCAATATTTGAAGTAAAGATAATGTGCAACTTTTTTTTTAGTTTTCCTTTGCTTTATTTTCTCCTGACAAATAAACAAAACCTATGATATGATTTACAGTCATCTGTAACAGGATTGAAATGCAGGGAAGTAAAAAAATGCCAGGATAATTGGAACAGTTTAAGTTGAACATCAGTGAGATATATTTTTACCTGTGTAATATATTTCGACTTATCCGTATTTCGACGCAAGTGAAGTGTATAAATAAGGTTGACGATATCAGTTTCCTGAACGAAATAGGGCTACGATAGCACACAAACAGCATATGATATTCGAAATGGCAGTAAATAAACAAATGAATTTATCCTACTTTCTCCTTTCATGTTTATTGACCCAAATAACAAAACATGTAATAACAACTCCAATCAAATGAAATTGTACTCACGTCGTTCCGTCCCGCACACATGTGCAAAACCCTCACTGACCAAGCACATATACATCATGTATTTTATGGAATGACATAAAATGAAATTTTAATTTGCTTTTGGTATGCTCCAAGAAATGATGTATGAAGCCATAGATCATATCATTATGACTTCATTATGAATAAATAAACGTATGAAAAATTAGCGCTGGAAATTTTTTACCCGTTATAGAAAACATTGTAACAGCACTAGACTTAACAAATCACGCACTTCTTTGTCCATACACTAAATCTGACAAAGTGCCAGATCACAGTCCTTTAGTTAACAAGCTCAAAATAATTTTTTTTAAATTGTGGGGATCAGATTTCATCACAAAGTTTGTACTGGTTTGACAGCTTCATTCTTATTGTTCCTGAAGATACATGCAACCAAGCTATGTTTTGTGTGAATGTACTAATTTTATTGTCCAGGTAAGTCACTGCTACAGGATGGTGACACTTTTTAAGAAACCAACATTTAATTGGATAATTAAACTGGTAATTAATCGTCAGTGACCAAGTGTTGTGTGTACGATGGACCCAATGTTTTGACAAAAATTAATTTCGAGACAACAAATGACTTTTCCCTTGCTTTACAATTCAAGGAAATGAAAAATCACTTCAACTTAACCCAAATTTTGACCCAATGAAATTTGAGTCATCTGAACTGAAATACAAAGATATAGAAGGTGAAAAAATACTCAAACGGAATTTCAATGCATGTGATTTTGAGACAATGAGTTTCAAAGGTACAATAAAATTCCAATAAATTTCCTTAGAACTATTCAAAAAAGTGATTCATTTGCAAAAATAACAAGAGGCCAACAGGCCTAACAGACATTGTTGGTTCATAAAAACATCTACATACTTGAAATCATATTCTGTATACATGCTATTACACAAATGCCATTACTCCGAACCTACTGTGTGTTGAAAAAGAAATTATAAGACCTCAACTCACTTAACCAAAGAGATCTGTAATAAAGGTCAGTTTGATTAAGTACTAAATGGAATAATACAATCACTCACATCCCAGGGGGGAGGGGGGGGGGGGAGATAGCTAGGGGGATTTCAATCCAAGGAGGAAGATTATCAAGATGGCTAACATGAGACTTGTAGTAATTGCAACTTAATAATCCTCCCCTGAGAACCGAGATTCCAAATCTCACCAACAACGGGACGACTGATTTTTTTCTCTCTTTAACCTGCTGGACTCCTACCCCAATACTTTGCATTGTCAATGTGACATCATATTTAGGAAAGGAAAATCTGTCTATCTTAATCCTAAGCTCAAAGAAGGAAATCTCAGTAAGCTATAATTGTGGCTACACCTCACCTGGGTAAGAGAAACACATATCTCATCCAAATTGACTGATCACAATAAAAACAACTTACTTTTATCCAGTTTTGACATAGGATGATTCCGTTGTAATGATAAAATTTTTCCACTAAAATCAAAGTCTTCTTGAGAATCATCTACAAAGTCCCCAAACTCCATGAAAGACTGACCATCATCTTGTGTGTCGGTCTTTCCTTCTAGTCGTTTTTCTGAAACAATGAGACTGAGGTTTAACAAAGCCATTTGTAATCCTGGTACTACCCCAACACATGAATATATATTTTGATCAAAGACTTGATTGATATCACTGTAAACTAGCATTGTTGTCAGTATTAGTCAAAAGTCTCGACAAACATATTCATAAGTATAATATATGTACGATATACATATTTCAATACAAACATAGTAGACTAGGATTGTGTTGGTGGAGATTGGAGGGGGTGGGGGGATGATACCTCATTCATTAGAGTGTCATTTGTGGTTTGATGATCGCCACTCAGGTTTGTTTGCGTTTCACAGGAGGCTGAGAAACAGACCTGTCTGTGTTCATGTCGTTATAGCCTTTGTTAAGATACTTTACCATACCAGCTCTGAATGGCATACAACGGTTCTATGGTGAACCCCAACTCAAAATGACCCTGCCTGTTGTCAAGGCAATGAACTCTGCTAAGAAAAACAATTTATCCAGAAACCATCTTAAGTTTACTGCTAATTCAAATACCCCAGAGGTCAGAGGTCACAGCATTAATTTAGATCATGGTCAACAATGCTGTGACCAATCTTCATATACACCAACATTTCCAATGCTCTTAAGAGGGATATTTCAAGCAGTTCAATCAAATTGGAACTTGAAAACTAACATCAGGTACGCCATTTGTGACATTTACTTAATGTAGATCTGACCTTACCTTCTGTATTATCCGACTCCCCTTCGTACAGGTTCTGAAGACTTCCCCTTTGCCGTTTTTCATCCTCTCCTGCACTCTCATCCTCCAGGGATAGCAACCTGTAACACATCATTTGTATGACACCATCAGCTTGTGTACTGCCACCATTTTACAAACCCTTAGAAGTCAACCTTGATAAGAATCAGTCATTGGTTTCAGTGGATCAATTCGTTAAATCTAAAGTTCTATTCCCTTTTTAACCTAGTACTTTTGATCTATAAAGATGCAACTAAAAACACTAAAACACCATCCCCTTAACCTGAACAAAAATCAGAAACATTCACTATATCATGGCATCCTTGAATAATGTACAATTAAAACATAATGGCTTAGTGAGAAATTTCTAATCCTTCCATCCTCGTTAGCACTAGCAAGATCTACTAAGTTCAAAAATTCCTAAAGGGTATAGATGATATACAGGACATTTACAAAAAGCAAAATTTGTGAACTGTAACAGATAAACAGATTGTCAACACATTATTTTTACTACCTGAGTTGACAATGAGATTGTCTTGTTCTGTATATCTACCTGTCACTATCACAGTAGACTTGTAAGTCTATAAGATAGTCCTGTATATCTACCTGTCACTATCACAGCTGACTTGTAAGTCTATAAGATAGTCCTGTATATCTACCTGTCACTATCAGAGTCGACTTGTAAGTCTATAAGATAGTCCTGTATATCTACCTGTCACTATCACAGCTGACTTGTAAGTCTATAAGATAGTCCTGTATATCTACCTGTCTCTATCACAGCTGACTTGTAAGTCTATAAGATAGTCCTGTATATCTACCTGTCTCTATCACAGCTGACTTGTAAGTCTATAAGATAGTCCTGTATATCTACCTGTCACTATCACAGCTGACTTGTAAGTCTATAAGATAGTCCTGTATATCTACCTGTCACTATCACAGCTGACTTGTAAGTCTATAAGATAGTCCTGTATATCTACCTGTCTCTATCACAGCTGACTTGTAAGTCTATAAGATAGTCCTGTATATCTACCTGTCACTATCAGAGTCAACTTGTAAATCTATAAGATAGTCCTGTATATCTACCTGTCTCTATCAAAGCTGACTTGTAAGTCTATAAGATAGTCCTGTATATCTACCTGTCACTATCACAGCTGACTTGTAAGTCCTGTCCTATATCTACCTGTCACTATCACAGCTGACTTGTAAGTCTATAAGATAGTCCTATATATCTACCTGTCACTATCAAAGCTGACTTGTAAGTCTATAAGATATTCCTGTATATCTATCTGTCACTATCACAGCTGACTTGTAAGTCTATAAGATAGTCCTGTATATCTACCTGTCACTATCACAGCTGACTTGTAAGTCTATAAGATAGTCCTGTATATCTTGTCACTATCACAGCTGACTTGTAAGTCTATAAGATAGTCCTGTATATCTACCTGTCACTATCACAGCTGACTTGTAAGTCTATAAGATAGTCCTGTATATCTACCTGTCACTATCAGAGTCAACTTGTAAATCTATAAGATAGTCCTGTATATCTACCTGTCACTATCACAGCTGACTTGTAAGTCTATAAGATAGTCCTGTATATCTACCTGTCACTATCACAGCTGACTTGTAAGTCTATAAGATAGTCCTGTATATCTACCTGTCACTATCACAGCTGACTTGTAAGTCTATAAGACTTGTAATCTATCTATAAGATAGTCCTGTATATCTACCTGTCACTATCACAGCTGACTTGTAAGTCTATAAGATAGTCCTGTATATCTACCTGTCTCTATCACAGCTGACTTGTAAGTCTATAAGATAGTCCTGTATATCTACCTGTCACTATCAGAGTCGACTTGTAAATCTATAAGATCGTCCTGTGAAACAGGATCCAGAATCTCATGGTTAGATGTATGATGATTTGGGGTGGGTATTTTGGATATTTCCTGAGCAGGGTTGGCTTGAATGCCTTTATCATCATGGTCCTGATCAGGACAATTCTGCCCAGTATCATCGGTCAAACAGGATGGTTGAAGCACAGGACTATGGTCTGCTGACTCATCTTCATTGTCTTGCTCTAATGCACTGGTCAAAACAGCAAAAGCACACGCTAGTACATTACAATATCTAACAACACTAGTACATTCAGTGGAGCCTTGATGATCCTTTCACCAGAGTTGCTAATAAAAGAACTGTGATTTTGAGGATACTGCGATAATTTCTGCTGCATATGGTAGCTACCATTGACTCTAGAAGGATAGATATCAACTAATCAGTTCAGTAATGGCTGAATAGTGGGAAATCTGTTAAGTTGTGACATTATAGAGGGTAATCTGTGTAGTAGTGACTTTATTGAGGGTAATCTGTGTAGTGGTGACTTTATTGAGGGTAATCTGTGTAGTGGTGACTTTATTGAGTGTAATCTGTGTAGTGGTGACTTTATTGAGTGTAATCTGTGTAGTGGTGACTGGATAGTGGGTAATCTGTGTAGTGGTGACTTTATTGAGTGTAATCTGTGTAGTGGTGACTGGATAGTGGGTAATCTGTGTAGTGGTGACTTTATTGAATGTAATCTGTGTAGTGGTGACTTTATTGAGGGTAATCTGTGTAGTGGTGACTGGATAGTGGATAATCTGTGTAGTGGTGACTGGATAGAGGGTAATCTGTGTAGTGGTGACTGGATAGTGGGTAATCTGTGTAGTGGTGACTTTATTGAATGTAATCTGTGTAGTGGTGACTTTATTGAGGGTAATCTGTGTAGTGGTGACTGGATAGAGGGTAATCTGTGTAGTGGTGACTGGATAGTGGGTAATCTGTGTAGTGGTGACTTTATTGAATGTAATCTGTGTAGTGGTGACTTTATTGAGGGTAATCTGTGTAGTGGTGACTGGATAGTGGATAATCTGTGTAGTGGTGACTGGATAGAGGGTAATCTGTGTAGTGGTGACTTTATTGAGGGTAATCTGTGTAGTGGTGACTTTATTGAGGGTAATCTGTGTAGTGGTGACTCTATTGAGGGTAATCTGTGTAGTGGTGACTGGATAGTGGGTAATCTGTGTATTGGTGACTGGATAGTGGGTAGTCTGTGTAGTGGTGACTCGATAGTGGGTAATCTGTGTAGTGGTGACTGGATAGTGGGTAGTCTGTGTAGTGGTGACTCGATAGTGGGTAATCTGTGTAGTGGTGACTGGATAGTAAGTAATCTGTGTAGTGGTGACTGGATAGAGGGTAATCTGTGTAGTGGTGACTGGATAGTAAGTAAACTGTGTAGTTGTGACTGGATAGAGGGTAATCTGTGTAGTGGTGACTCAATAGTGGGTAATCTGTGTAGTGGTGACTGGATAGTGGGTAATCTGTGTAGTGGTGACTTGATAGTTGATAATCTGTTTAGTGAAAGCTTGACAGTAGTTAGTATTGTAGTTCTAACTGAGGCCAGTCAGTAAATGGTGACTGGATCAACAAGGCTACACTTGACCACAAACAACATCAAGGTAAGTGTTACAACACTAAACATTAGCTAGAAATACAATGCATGCCAAAACACACTAAGCATTAACATACGCTGTCCAAATACTTCATGTGTCTTAATTCAATACACTAAGCATTAACATACATTGTCCAAATACTTCTACACTAAGCATAAACATACACTGTCCAAATACTTCATGTGTCTTAACTCAATACACCAATTTCAAAGAAAAAAAATCATTTTTTGATTATATGAACAATTTCTTTCAAAATATGAATTAATCTGCTGAAATGGGTAAAATATGACAAAAAATTTATTCATTAAATCTGTATACAATATATTATCAAAATTGTCACAAAATTTAAATTTGAAATTTCAATGACAACACACACCAAATGAAATGATTTGTTTTATAATGTTAGACTAATCAGAGTCAATATCAGCTTGAGTTGCAATTTTTTTTATTTTTCATGATTTTTTTTTGGGGGGGGGGGGGGGGGGGGGGGGGGGGGGGTGGGGGGGGGGGGGGGGTAATCCTATAAAATATGGGAATGCTAGACTAGCAGAGCAACAGTACTATCAGTACAATATATAGATCAATTAGAATTTGTGCAATATTTACTTTTGCAAATAAAATCAAAATAGCAATCATAAACAGTTCATCACAAAACAGTATTTTATGTCAAATTTAAGACAAAAACGACTCAATCAGTGAAAACAGTAGAAATTTTGTCAGGCAAGATTTTGTACAGAAGTCAGTTTGCAAAAGTAAGTATCCACAGAATCTAAGCAATGTCCAAGTCATAATTACTAATGTATGTACCACAACATATAATCTAGCACATCTAAACTATAAGAACTACTAACAACAGTAACTGTATATTGGGAATATTCACAAGCTATAATTCTTTCTGTCATTTTCTGTCATCAGAAAAAGAAATCCTGAAATGCTATCAGTATCCATATTTAATGTGAATAATGACAATTACAATAAGAAATGAAAGAAAATTTCAAATTAATGAGTCGCAAATATTTTACTACCAGTAAATGTGAATAACCCAAAATACAGAACATGTCAACAAAGTAAGATATAACAACAACACAATGCATTTGCTGTGCAATTAAATCTGTATTACAGGAGACCGTCGTTTCTTAGACCATGCCGACTGTTTCAGGAAAACACCTTTTTAACCCAAGCACTCCCAAATCAATCACTTCTTTAAATGGTTTTGTTTCTTACCTATTACTTCCAAGCAAATTATCAATTAAATTCTATAAATGGTACCTTTAAACAAAACCTGGAGTCCTGGGTGGGAGGGGGCTACAATTTTTTTTTGTTTTCTTTGGAATATATCTTTAGACAATGGTCTCGAAATACAGTTGCTTTCTTTCCCATTTCTTTTTAATCTTAACTATTATACATTTCCTCAGCAAAGTAAATTCTATGCTATATATGAATTGTCATAAGTAAATTGGATGATTTGAATGTATTTCAATACTTTGTACAAATAGAACATTACAAGATTGCTCTATTCCATTAAATACACGGGCAGATGATTTACTGATGTACAAAAGCAAGGAAAAGTCGAACATTCCGAATTCCAAATGAATGTTCGCGTACATCACAACTTTAAACACATTTAAATCAAAGTTTGATGTTTAATACATCCTCATGTAAAAAAAATTGATCAAGAGTCAAAGAATTCAACATTTATGTTCATGTTTTAACACACCTCAAAAACATGTCAATAACACATTTAGTTTTGGTTTATCAGATCACTTACGCTGTGGGGTCAAACTCCTCATCTGTGTCACGCTCTGCAGGTTCTAGGCGTGAGGAATTCTCCAATTGCTTACTTGGCTCAGCTAATTCCTGAAATGTAGATAAATATTACATGACAACAATCAGTTATTTGTAAGGCGATGAAAATACAAACAAAGATACAAATTATAGTGACTGCTTTTACTGACTAACAAGTAATCCTGATCTGTCATCTTTATTCTGAGCGTCACTTGTCTATATAACAACCTTAACCTTCCTCTCGTGTATATAAATAATTACACTGACCTGATATCGTTTTTATCGTAATAATGTTGCTTTACATCCTATTAAAAGCCAGAGTCATTTAAAGATGTGCCAGATTTTTCTAGAGAAAAACCACCTACCTGAAGCCAGTACATAGTGGGCCTAAACCCTGTGACCCAGAGGTGGAGGGCTAATGACAATCAAATGCTTTAACCGCTCTGTCACAGCAGCCCCCTGAACCTAAATGTAAACCAAGATCAAACTCACTTTGATGACACTGAACTCGTAGTGTTGATAGCCTTTGAAGCTCTCAGCGACGGCAGAAAGGGTGCGGGAAGTTTTCTCCCAGAAATGAAGTAGTGTGGACTGATAGTTAGCTAGGACATGAGAGAACATGTTACAGCGACTGGCCGCTAATAGATCCACCTTCTGCATCACATCTAACTTCAGTTTGTCAAATCTTGCCTTCGTCTTTCTCACCTGTCCCTGTACCTGTATAACACAGATGGAATGAACATTTATATTTCATTAATACATTTCATCCCACAATATAGAAAAGGTTTGCCTTAACATAGATCCACCCTTCTGTGTTGTCACTCTTTCCAGAATGTGGTCATCCATTTCTTTTAATATAACACATTATCTATATATGGTTTTTGAATTATAATTTGGAGTGTGTTTGTTAATCACATGGCAAAGTCTAGGAAGCTGAGGTTTAAGATATTGGTGTAACCTTCATGCCACTTTTAATATCAGAGATGACACATCTGTAATGGAGGTCAGGGTCATGTGGGACCTGGTCAGTTGGGTGTATTTTGGCTCTGAGAACTTTATCAAAATTACATATTTTCCTACTCTCAGATCCTGCTGTGTTTTGGCATGCTGTTATTTGGGATCATGATGTAGGATATACTGGAAGAACTTTCCAGATTGATTTTATTTTGCAATTTTTACATAAATATGTATTTTCTGCTTTTTTTAATGAAAAATATGTAAGTGGGTGCATCTAATGTTACCACTCTTAATATAGTTATTATTAACATCCTGAAAAGACACTTGTATAAACACAGGATCATCGTCAAAACTAGTAAACCAATAATCTTTTACCTTCATGTGTGATATAGACATAAAAAATCATCAAGGGGAGACATCTCTTCGATGAAAGAACAGAATTTTATATTTTCGAAATATTAACATCAAGTGATTATGAAAAATATCTCAGGTCCAGGGATGTGGAATAAGTATTCTAGGAACTGATGAGACCAAGCACTCTGTTTAAGGGGTAGTTGTAGTAATAGGAGATAGAGAATGTGAGTTAATACCAAATGTAAAGAAATTCTTACCTTCCTAAATTTTTCCAATTGTTTAAAAGTATCTGGATCTAGTTCCTCCGAGACTGCTTTCATCCATAAAAGGGCTCCCCTATATTCTGTACGCGCACCCTCCATTCTGTTTATTGTCATCAACGTATCAGAGATGGCGCGGTAACGAAACGTTTCAACTTCCTGATAAAGACGAACTAGTGGAACACGCAACGATAGCCTGCGAATAAAAACACATTTGTTTGGATCTATCAATTTGACGTCATATGTAATAACATGTTTTGATCAATTCTCATTATTAAACAAAAGAGCTGGTTAACCATATCTTTTTGTATGTTAGACTAAATACAACAATATACCTTTGTTGAGCAGCAAAGCTCTGAGATTTTCCCACTGCAGCCATCATTTTACCAGCTCTTGTTTTATCAATGTTACTCTGGGACTTCAAGAATCTTCCCATTCCATTCTCGTCTTGTGACAGAGCTAAAAACAGACACATGCATCATTAATCTGATATATACTTCTTCCTCCATAGAACATTGACAAAAACAGCACAGATGTGTTCGTAACAACATACCAGGAAGCATGTACCGTATTTACATGTGTAGGGTGCAGTCTCAACTTAACAGCAAGTTACATAATTATAGTTACCTTTTCATGCTGTGTAAAATTTACGAGGTCATGACAATGAAAAGGCAAGTTATGATTCCTAGATACGTCTCTGGATAATGTGTAATTAAAATATTATCAAGAGAAATAGCTTTCATGTAAATAGCACATAAAATACCTAGTCATTGCAAATATTCTTCCTTATTGCACAAATATTACATACCACAAAGACGGTCCTGGTACTTCTCTATCACACGTAGAAGTTCCATCGATGATTTCTGAATTGCCCTAAACACCTTCAATGAATAAATAAGAAAATATGATAATTTGTTTTTTAATTCAAACTTTAAATTCAAACTTAATTCTATCAAAATATCTATATCTCAAAAGGAACAATTTCAGGATAGATGGACAAGCAACACTGACAAAAGTGAAACAGTTTCAACAGTACTACATTTCTATTGTCTACAGCCACCATTTTTTGAGTTCCTAATAGGAAACATATTTTGCATGAAAAGAATTTACCAATCACTTCTTATTATCTTTACAAAAAATCTGGAAACAGTTTTTGATCATCATCTATTCCACAAAGCTTTCCATTAAAATAACAAAGAAACAACTACATCAATATCTGGTCTGAACTCACTTCAAGTTTAGAATCAAGCTGCGAATCTGATGCAACTACATGTTCATCCTCCTTTTTACCAAGCTTTTGTATGACAACCTGTTTTGTCGTCCAGAATGTCTCCTTCATCTTGTGGAGAGTGGATGTCTCTGTTCTTTCCACGTATCTGTCATAGTTGGAGCCAGAATAGCCATGCCTACTAAACGAAAATGGTAATATGGCTACAGTAAACAGGAGCTTTAGTTATCTGACTACAATAAATAGGAGCTTCAGTTATCTGATTACAGTAACTAGGAGCTTAAGTTATCTGACTACAGTAAATAGGAGCTTCAGTCATCTGTCTACAGTAAATAGGAGCTTCAGTTATCTGACTACAGTAAATAGGAGCTTCAGTTATCTGACTTCAGTAAACAGGAGCTTAAGTTATCTGGCTACAGTAAATAGGAGTTTCAGTTATCTGACTTCAGTAAATAGGAGCTTAAGTTATCTGACTACAGTAAACAGGAGCTTCAGTTATCTGACTACAGTAATAGCAGCTTCAGTTATCTGACTACAATAAATAGGACCTTCATTTATCTGACTACAGTAAACAGGAGCTTCAGTTATCTGACTACAGTAAATAGGAGCTTCAGTTATCTGACTACAGTAAATAGGAGCTTCAGTTATCTGACTACAGTAAATAGGAGCTTCAGTTATCTGGCTACCGGGGCTTCAGTTATCTGACTACAGTAAACAGGAGCTTCAGTTATCTGACTACAGTAAACAGGAGCTTCAGTTATCTGACTACAGTAAATAGGAGCTTTAGTTATCTGACTACAGTAAATAGGAGCTTTAGTTATCTGACTACAGTAAATAGGAGCTTCAGTTATCTGACTACAGTAAACAGGAGCTTCAGTTATCTGACTACAGTAAACAGGAGCTTCAGTTATCTGACTACAGTAAATAGGAGCTTCAGTTATCTGGCTACCGGGGCTTCAGTTATCTGACTACAGTAAACAGGAGCTTCAGTTATCTGACTACAGTAAACAGGAGCTTCAGTTATCTGACTACAGTAAATAGGAGCTTTAGTTATCTGACTACAGTAAATAGGAGCTTTAGTTATCTGACTACAGTAAATAGGAGCTTCAGTTATCTGACTACAGTAAACAGGAGCTTCAGTTATCTGACTACAGTAAACAGGAGCTTCAGTTATCTGACTACAGTAAATAGGAGCTTCAGTTATCTGGCTACAGTAAATAGGAGCTTCAGTTATCTGTCTACAGTAAATAGGAGTTTCAGTTATCTGACTACAGTAAATAGAAGCTTCAGTTATCTGACTACAGTAAATAGGAGCTTCAGTTATCTGACTACAGTAAATAGGAGCTTCAGTTATCTGACTACAGTAAATAGGAGCTTCAGTCATCTGTCTACAGTAAATAGGAGCTTCAGTTATCTGACTACAGTAAATAGGAGCTTCAGTCATCTGTCTACAGTAAATAGGACCTTCAGTTATCTGACTACAGTAAATAGGAGCTTCAGTTATCTGACTTCAGTAAATAGGAGCTTCAGTTATCTGTCTACAGTAAATAGGAGCTTCGGAATAAGAAGTAATATCTGTAGAACTGGAAAAGATAAGCCTAGCATTTCATATACCATAATATTTCAGGGAATAGTCAGATTTGGTACCAATAAGTATAAAAAAAGAGTTGAATCACTGTACTTACGACATTTTGGAATGCTTTACGTTGATGTGCTGATATGTGAACTGTTTTCTGAAACTGAAAATAAAAGTTTAGCGAGTCCAGCAAAAGTATAAAAAAAAACCATACTCAAATTCAAAAAATCATATCATAAATGCATTAGTAGTTATTTGGAAGTGTATGTTTGAATGTTTAATCTATGTTAATAATAGCATAATAAATATGTTCATTTAAATGTTTGTGAATTTAATATTTTCTTCTGTTAGCATAGCATTTTCTAACTCACTTTTCCGCAATGGTTTATGAGCTTCTACTGCATAATAAGTAGCAAAATAAGTAATTTCTTTAGAAACAACTGGCAGGATTTTTCTTTGTCATAACTTTGTATTTTTTTCAGAAATCAAGAAGTCAAATACAAACATGTTGAATGAAGTAAATAAATATAAATAAACATTTGTTCAATGTATGTGTAAAAAAACAATTTTATCTTAATGCCAAACTTTTACTGTGTATGCAAAAAGGGACATATTCACTCACGTCGGTATAAAAAAATGTTCATTTGTCAGACTACCAGTCTTGCATTTTGTCTGCTAAATATTCTTCACAAGGTAACAAAAAAAAAATCCACACTATTGCTAGTAAACCACTAAGAAAAGTCCATTCTGTTCTGAAAAAGTATTTTCCAGGAACTGGAATTTGAATTTCCAGACCAGTGTGCACAAATGATGTTACAGAAATTAGTTCCCCAACATTTCCGTCTGGATTGCAGACTTTCGGCATCTAGACTATTCCGAGTCCACTGTCATTTGCCAATAACATTTCTGCAAAATTCAAGTCATCAAAATAACATGTCCACAACAACTTCCTGAAATTTCTCAGCTCTCTGAGTGACAAGGATTCTTCATCTGGATAATGACTCTTAATGAATATAACTGTTTATAAAATAGTGCCGCTAGCAAATTTGCCACCCTGACCACGCTCCTATTTTCTTTCTTATTTAGGGGATAGGATAATATGCTTGTATTTATGTACATACTGGAGATAAGAAGCTCTGCCTACTTTCCACTCAAGTTGTCATTAGAGTTTGAAAAGGCTCTGCAACAAAATTCTTTGTGTCCTTCTCAGAATAGTACAGACAGTAAATTTTCAAAAATTTTTTACCCAAGTTCTTTAATATTACCTTCAGCTTTACTAACTTTTCATCATAGTTTAATTTGGGTATCAAATGTAAATCAAAATTGAATTCTTAACCTAACAGAACAAATTTACATCTTCCCCAATGTGAGTTCATTTCTGGAAAATAGGTTTCCTCACTATATTTTTTAGTCCCCTATCTATATGACTTGTGTCTTATTTTCATTTATTTTCAGGCCAGAAATATTTGCAAATTTGTCAAGTTCAACTAAAGATTCTTTCAAAAGATTTTTTGGATCCATCTAAGATAATAGTAGTATCATCAGCATATTGAGAAAGTAAAAACGGTGAGTTATCTACCTTTATACCTTTTATACCTTTATTATTTCTAAGTTTAATTGCAAGTATCTCAGCAAACAATATGAAAATATACGGAGCAACTGGGTTCCCTTGATGGCAGCCCCTCTCAATTTTGAAGAAAGATGAAAGATTGCCGCCTTTATTAATTGCTACATAGACTTATAAAATATTTTGACTCAGCTTCTAATATCATGACCAAAATTAACGTAACTCAAGACTTTATCTATAAAGCTCCAAAAGAGCTCGATAAAAATTATTACTGTTACAGTAACATGATATTCTCATTCTGAAATTTATAGGTATATCGGCCAACTCACTTGAAGTGAAGAAAAAGTTATCAGAATATTTTACAAAGAGTATTATCTTCATATTCTCCACTTCACATTTTGATGACATGTTTACGCATTTCATCATAATTTAAATTAAATCACCTATAGACCAATTTCATGAGACATCACTGCACTTTCGCTATTTTATTAAGCCGCCATCATGGCGTACAACCCCAAGGCGTGTTTTGCATATGTAATTAAGGTGACTCATCAACATAATCTACACTATGGTAGTTTTCTGTGCGGTTATTGGCTGTGCTAACCGAGGCGGGTGTAACACCCACAAGTCATTCTTCAGACTACCGTCAGTCATATTAAACCAGGGAAACGCATGCCAGGAATTATCAGAAAAAAGGCGCCAAACATGGCTGTGTCGCATCAACAGATCCAATTTGGTGGAATCAAGTTATGCCTATATTCGTGTGTACTCTGATCATTTTATATCTGGTATGGTATATAAACAAAGTCTTGTCACAAAGCTTACTAATTCAGTTGTGTTCAAATCAAAACAGTCTCATGCACTTGCTAAGAAAAACGAAACATTCGCATACATGTTAGACACGTTTGTTACACATTCGTACCTCACCGGTTCCTGTAGCACGGTTAGTCAATTTCGGACGCCTGCCTCAACCGTAAAGACAGTAGCCATATTTGGGCTAGCGTCAGAAATAATGAAATTCATCCAATAGAAAAATGTGTTACATAACTATGCTTATAGAATGTTTTATCAATAGATATCGAACCTATGACACAAGACTAAACATAAAGGTAAGTGCTTTTAAAACAATACTTGTTAAAGCTATATATTACAACTGCGTGATTGCCATATATGCTGATTACAGACTACTTCTTATGCTTACTGACAAATATGTCAAGAATATCACAAGTTGTTAGCAGAGAAAAGTTCATTTATTCCAAAAACATGTTTCGGGATGAGAAATTGAATTGTCCATACTAGTAAATGTTACAGAAATATGTTCCCTAACATTTCAGCCTGGACTGCTAAGTTTTTCAAATTATCAACATCCAGATCATTGTGAGTCAATTTTACTGTATAGTACGTACAGTCAGGGACTTCGCTTTAACTTGCTTGAGGCTGTATGTTCGATACCAGGTGGATGCTTTCATGTTAAAGTTGATCAGTACATACCAAAATGCCTTTCTATATCTGAACAGTACAGTTCAAGATTTGAAATTGGAGGTATATGTACATCGTAGGTAATTATTGAATATCCTATCCAATCAGGATAAAGGAACTTATATGTCAACATATTAAATTATTTCGTAGCTTTAAAAGCACAACGAAACGTCGAATCTTTCTTTACCGGAGAAAGGGGGGGGGGGGTACAACGTCAACGACAGACGCGTTTGCAACCAGTTTTACGGCTCTTATCCGACACATAAGAAGCAACTTCGAAACGTTATGTCAAAAAGCATGCGAGCATTATATACCTTTTCAAACTTGTCAGTTACAGTCGTTGAAGAGTACACAAGCAGCTTGACAGATACACTTTCGTCATTACATATGCAGTCATCATCTGCAGTCTGCCATGTTTACATCGAAAATCAATACGCGATGTGACGGAAATAGCCGAAGGAAGAGGGGACGTAACTCTAACGTTCCTGAATCGGTCTGGAACGCAGGGGAAATCAAAGTAATGAAAGTTCTGACACTTTGTTGATAATGTAGCAAAACTTGCAAAAGAATATATTCAATCGGGAGACATGTGGAAAATAGCATTAGAATAAGCCCAAGTGATCCGGAAAAGTAAGCTTCCTCACCGATGACACCCACCATGTAACCCTGGGACATATGTTATACTTGGCACATTAGTTTCGGATCCTTAAAAATGATTTTTTTTTCGACAGCTACGCTATGCTGATGAAATGCCACAAAACAAATACATAAATGTCTTGAAATGTGTACACACCATAAAATTTATTTAAAAATTGATCAGTGAAATTCCAGTATTTAAAAAAATATATCCAAAGATACGACAGCAAATTCGTTCACCTGAAATGATCGACATGTTTATCGGACACGTGACTAATTTCGTTTCTTATGACATCACTAAATCACAGAGACGCATGAGTTAGCTTAATGTGTGTGACCCAGAAGTACTCATGTATTATATAAAATCATCATTTGAACAGAATGATATTTTGATGAAAATAAAAATCAAAATATATTTATGGCGTGAAAGTGATTTATATATATTATGTGTACACCTTTTCTAAAGGGTTAGATTCTAATTTTTAATTTTTTATTTTTTTTACTCAAATGAGATACATATCATGGTAAACTTCATTTTTACAACACCAACTATTTAAATAAAGTTGGTTTTTCATCTTTCGGTCTACAACTCGCTATTTACATAAAATAGGAAATAGCTGTCAAAAGTGACAATTTATAAATCTTTTTTTTTCAAAATAAGATATGCAAGTATGGACGTTCGCAGCCAAAAAAATGTGAAATGGTCATTCTGAAATACAAAACTTTACTGAACTAATTTCCGGCAACAAGTTAAATCTCTTTTGAGTATTAGAAATCTTATTATTTTCTTTTTCAAATTTATCGTGCTAACTTTTATGACAAATAATTTCTCCTGTTCATTTTTTGAGATGTGGATAATAAAATCATTTAAAAATAAATTATATTAAAAAGCTTAGTAATTTTCAAACTGACTCGTCTTTTTTTTCGGTCATCTGAGGCGAAGGGTGCTTTGTCTGTCGTTTTGTGCCATCCACTTTGTGTCGTTTGCCCTGCGTCGTCCGGTAAGTTTTTCTTCAAAAGTCTACTCCTCTTTAATATTTTGGTAGAATTCCAACCAAATTTGTTCATATTTTTGTTTGTAGGAAATTACCAATCATCTGCTAAAAAAATACCCCACAATTTTACTATGAAAATTACAGTAATGTCTAAAAAAAAAAAAAAATTCCTCCCCAGGATGAAATGTGAGACTCATTTTGGTAAGCACCTTAAAACACTTTCATTTATGAAGAACATTTGATTCTACCATATTTGGGTCTTTAGAAGAAGATTTATGAAATCTGAGTCAATTTTATCCCTTTTGACCCTGCTCCTCAGGCCACTGGGGGTAGGGACAGTATTATTCTTAAATTTGGTTCATCTTAAGCCAGGAAAGGTTTCTGCAAAATTTCATCGAAATTGGATCAGGGATTTTTGAGAAGAAGTCGAAAGTGATAAATTGTTTACGGACAGAGGACGCCGTATAAAGGGTATTAGAATAGATCACCGTGAGACTTTTTCTCAGGTGACCTCAAGATGCAACACTTTTCATTTTTTTTTTTTACTTAATTTCGCCAATTTCCTACCAAGTACTGGTCTCCTACGCAGTTGAGGTATCGCCCCTGACATCATGTTGGAATTTACCATGGATTCTGCAGACTGGATTTCAATTTTATTTGATGAGTCATGAATATATCTCTGAACAATGCCAATAGAATTCAAAGGTCCAAACTGACCAGAAGTGTGATTAAATGTACATGCACCATAGTAAATGACAACCAACATGTGACAATTGCAAAGCCCTTATAGAAGGACATGACGGCGAGTCACCATCAAAATGGCAGATTAACTGTCCGATAATGAAAAATTCATTTTAAACTAAGTCATAATCAACGTTAGCCAACATTATCTGATGTGGCTTCGAACACAAGAAATGATATAATTATATAATTTTATGGATATGTGGGCGGTCATATTATGTTGACACATCATTTATAACACCTGTAAATGTCATAACAAGACAGAACATTTGCACAGCAAACTTATCAGAAAGAGTATGCTTTATAACATAAATATATGACATTCAATGTTAAACTTTTTGACGTCATTTTCGTTGGCTTGTAAATGACAAAGGTGCACATCGAATTGACAGTTCCATCTGACAGACAGCACTATCAATAATAAACAGTTAAACCTATCGCAACAAAAGTGTCTTATCCCCCAACTTTATTGGGAAAGTATACGGTCTCTTTCTTTGTTCATCCGTCCATCTGTCTGCAATCCTTGTCCAACCCCGACACGCACGCACGCACGCACACGCACATACACACGCACTCCCTTCCATCGAATTGGTGGACCAATTTAAATTAACATACACAGGTTAATTTTAAGACCAGTTGTAGAAAGTTTTGTAAACAAGGTCATTATACCCAGGTAATGGACCTAGAAGACAAGGCAGTTGTATGATCGCTCTACGGTCTAATTTTAAATGCATTGAAAAGTGTGTGTCTTTTGTAGACATTTCTTTCTGATACCCAAATGAGACCATATAAACTTTCCAGCACCGAGTTTCTAAAGTTATGCTGTACCCTTTATAAACAATTTTTCCGCTTTTGAGTGACAGTAAATTGTTGTCCCACAAAATCGTATTTGTAAATCCTTTGTTCCGGTCTGCGGAAGTGCAATGTTGTCTACCACTGTTGATTTATTTGCTTAGTAATCTTTGGTGTCTACTAGGTCATTATACTGCTGGATTTATCCAGAATTAATCACAAACTTCAGCAAGAAACCCATTGACCTTAACGGTCATCTGACTATAAAGACCTATATATATTTATATATGAAAGAGGCCAAATAGGCCTCTAGGTAAATTGCTCAATCATTGTACAGCTTTCAAAGAGAATGTTGTCATTTCAGAAAACTATTTTCTGCAAACGTTAAATTCTATTTCTTATAAATGCTACTACACGCATACTATCTCTCCAGACATTATTGCTCATTGAAAGAAGATTTAAAGATCTCAACTCATTTGACCCCAGAGGCCTTGAAAGTAGGTCAAGGTCAGTCATTTGAATTTGGTAGACATTTATCCAATTGTGTTAAAGAACCAATATCAACAGCCTGAACATTTTCCTGTTATTGAGAAGAAGTCGATTGAAGATTTTAAAACATCTAATACCTGTGACCTTGAAAGTGGGTGAAGGTAATTCTTTATAACACCCTTGGTAGCCCTTCATCCCAGCATGATATCAGCACCTTGGACCTTTTGGTTATTGAAAAGAAGTTGTTTAAAGATTTCAACATGTTTGTTCGCTGTAACCTTGAAGTTGGGTAAAGATCATCCATTTTAACAAAAAGGATAGCCCTTACTCCCAGCATGTTACAGCACCCTGGGCCTTTTCTGAGAAGAAATCATTCAATGATTTTGACATATTTGACACCTGTGACATTAAAATTGGTTACGATCAATGAAATGAACAAACTTGGTAGCCCCTCATCCCATTATTCTACAGGCCAAATTTAAACATTGGCCCTTTTGGTTATTTGGAAGAAGTCATTCGAATAGAAAGTTTCTGCACAGCAAACGATGATGAAACATGTTGGCAATAGGATGACCTAAATATTAACTTGACAAACCCATCAAATGTACTGCTGTTGTGAAATGTGAGTAATAGAATGTGGAATATAATGGGTCCATGTATACAAACTCCCATCTATTAGTAATGAGATTCTGTAGACTGCTAATAGAGATGTTGATAAGTTTAGAGCAGTGTACTGCTGTTGTGAAATGTGAGTAATAGAATGTGGAATATAATGGGTACATGTATACAAACTCCCTTCTATTAGTAATGAGATTCTGTAGACTGCTAATAGAGCAGTGTATGATAATGCACCCGCTACGATAATGGATCATAGATTTTTTTCGAAAATGTTTTTTATCCACTTTTAACAGCCTGCGTAAAAGGCTGTAGAAGTCAAGTGCTTAACGCTGTCCTATTGCAGGCTAGAACAATGGACCTGCATCGCACACTTGTTATTCAATGTACATCAAAAATAGAATCATTGTAGATACCACAAATATATTGAAAAGTCCACCAAAGTAGACACACCAAATCAATTTCCATAACAGTTTCTAATGCTCAAGTTTAAACAGTTATGACCAGGATTGTTCTAATAGGTAAATGTCATTTCCTTTTTCTCAAAATTTGTTGGGTTTTGACCTAGAAACACCTTTCCACCAAATACCCTGCTTCTGTACTTTTGGTTTATCAGACAGTCTTTAACAGGTTTCAACAAATTTGATCCCTGTGCCCCACAATTTGAATCAAGTTGTTTCTTTTCTCAAAATCTGTCAGGTATCATCCTCAGAAAAATATCAGCCAAATACCAGGCTTCTGCACCTTTTGGTTCCTAAGAAGATGTCTTTTTAACATTTAAGATTTTAACATATTTGACCCCTGTGACCCTAGATAATAGGTCATCGTCATTTCTTATTGCAAACCTAGCTGGCCTTCATTATATGGATCTATCACCCAAACTTCTGCGCCTCTTGGGTAGTCAGAAGAAATTGTTTAAAGGTTTTAACCAATCTGACCCCGCTGACAAATGTCAAGGTAATTTCTTTTTGCAAATTTTGTTGGACTTCATGATAGGAACAGATCACATGAATACAATATTGACCTTGACCCACTTTCAAGGTCACAGGTGTCAAATCTTTCATTGACATCTTCTCAATAACCAAAAAGCCCAGGGTGCCAATATTTGGCCTGTAGTATGAATGAATGAAGGGCTACCAAATCTGTTGAAGTGAATGACCTTGACAAACTTTCAAGGTCACAGGGGTCAGATGTATTCAAATGCTTAAGCAACTTCTTCTCTTATAACCATAAGGCCAATGGTCTTGATATTGGGCCTGTAGCATGGTTTTTCAATAAGCAGTAATGGTGTTTGTGTGATGCTTGTATAAATGATATGATTTGACAAGTTTGCAGAAAATATCTTTGTTATATTAACAAAAATGTTTTCTGTATAAGCTGTAGAGTTGTTCAGCAATTTATTTTAGGCCTATTTGGCCTTTTTCATTTACAAGTCTTTAAAGTCAGATGGCTGTTAAGGTCAGTGGGTCTCTTGTTGAGCGTACCGTGTTTATTTCCCACTAGAAATTACTTCCTTAAAATTACTATCAATATTAATTTTATACTTTGTAATAATGGAACTGTAATGTACAAAGAAAATATCATTCTACTTTGTGTCAATATAGATTGCATGTTCAAATTTGTTCAGCATGTGTCAGACCTCTGTTCAAATAGGCCCAAGTCTACTAGCTATTTTAAGAAGAATTTCGGTAAGCTTTTAGCCCAACAAAACAAACTATTTATCATTTGTTCATTTCATCAAATTTTAATTATCAATCATGGCATTTCAAAGCCAGCAAAATATCTTAAAAGGAAAAAATATTGTGAAGGGCAATCATAGTTATTACTGATTACAATACTTTGGGTGTGTAATCATTAATTTTCAGTCATTTTGTTTTTAGTGAGGTTATGCTGTGGTACTGTGTCTGTTGTACATCCTTTGGGAATTTTTCCCTATCAATGACTTCCTCTAAACAAGAACTCCCAGAATGTTGTTATTGGTGCCCACCATTGTTTGGTCTTAATTTGTTCTTTAAAAGCTGGATATTTTCCCATTCTTTTGTCTTCTTGGTCTTGTTTTTGATATTAATTCCTTTATTGATAAGAAGTAACATAATAATCTTCAACAGCCAAATCCAAGCTGGTCCCCTGTCAGCCATGTTGGCTTTCTGATCAGTAAAGGCACAGCTAGGGATCAAGGGGGACCAACATACAGCACTTATCAAAGAACTATCGGGTCCATAGTACTTTCAAAGTCAAAATCCAAGATGACTGCCTGTTAGTCATTTTTCTGACGAGTCCCCAAATAAAATGGGTACAACAAGGGACAAAGGAGAACCTACAAGAAATCTTAAAAAGACCCATCCAGTTCTCAAGAAATAGGAATAATAATCTTTCATCGCCAAGATCAAAGATGGTCACCTGTCAGCCATTTTGGATTTCTGATCACCCTCAAAATCAAACAGGCAAAAGTAGGTGTAAAGGGATACCTTCGTATGAAATTTGAGAAAGATAAATCCAGTACTAACCAAGAAAGAGCGAAAATAGACCTTCATTGTCAAAAACCCAAGATGGCCACCTGTCAGCCATTTTGTTTTTCTGATCAGTCCAATACAAAATTCAAGGAAGATCCATCTGTATTTCTCAAAAAATAGCGATAACAAGAAATATTTCTGATGACCAAACAAGATGAACAAAGAGCTGTTATTTGGAGTCCAAAATGAATATTGCATCAAAGGCATGTGATTCTCTCCATTTCAAGATATTACTTAGAGCGTGTTAACAACAACACCATATATTCTTTGTGCTTTCTTTTATTTTGGAAAATAAACACTGAAATGTTTCTTAATATTTCTTACTTGTATATATTAGCTTACACAATAATTAAAAAAATTGTTTACCTAGGTCATTTTAAGACAAACGTATATTTATTTGAATAAATAGCCGAAATCTGATCTTTTTAGGTTTCTTCATCATAAGAGAAAAGTTCTGACAATGACACACAATATATAGAAAACATTGAGTGGAAATTTGAACTTCGCAACACACCAGATCATGAATATTACTGTGAGAAGGCAATGTTAAGTACAGGCTGTCATATATAACTTCTTGAGATAAATTCAGAAGAGGATCATAATATCCACAAAGTCTACACAGAAAGAAAGGGTTAAAACATTTTAGAGAGACACATGCATTGGCGTTCCTCTCCAAATTCATAATTTCCGAATGTTGTTTATGTTAAGGACTGTAAAATAATTAATTTTCGAAGGGGTTTAATTACTCTTTATCCATGAATTAATAAACAGATTAAAGTTGATGACATGGATTATAGTACAAGTGGATTTTGTAAGCAAGACTTACCCACAATATCAAGAGCCAACAAAAGTGTATATTTTTAGAAACCCACGAGATTTAAGATCTACGAGTTTATAGTAGAACTTTCTTAAAATCATGAACTAAACCCTTCAGTAAGTGACTATCATAAATATCTATTGATAAGCTAATGGTTGTAAGCCCACTCATGTACTTAAAAGCTGTGTAGTAAAATTACCACTCTGCCACAAAAAGCCTGACCACGTTGACATACATTCAAGGGGATATTTATTGCTCCCTGGGCTTATCGACAGACACAAATGGGTATCAGATACACATTTAATGAATGCAAGCAAAAAAAAGACCTGATTTTGAGTGTGCTTGTTTTGATTTTGTTCATTCTTAATACACTAGAACTTTTCAAGAGTTACAACCCTGATTTACACTCATGGAAATGGTTGTTTTTTTTTTAGTCAAAAAGTTTTGTAACTATAATCCATCAAACAGACGGGTTCTCGGATAAACTTTAGGTAAAAAAATGTACATATGTACAAAATAAAGAGAGTGATGGAAAATGTAGATCAAGTCAACACACCTTCACCTACATATATATATTGTAGTACAGAAAAGGAGAAATGTATTTAGATCAGAGACCTTAAGGAGGGGGAATGGGAGAGAAACATTTACGTCACAACTTACGACTCAACAGCTATAAGCTCACATAGTGTGAGAGACTGTTAAAATAATCTCGCACACATATAACAAAGTGAAAGAAATGTCTCATGAGGAACCAGGATTTTAAAAGTCAATGCTTTAAAACAATTTTCTTTAAAAGGATACAGAATAATATTAATGATAAATCACATGATTCACAAAAAAAAAAAAACTCATAAAACCAATTTTATACCACATTTAACACAAGCAGTCAAAACAAGACAATGAAGATAAGATAATGTGACATTACATACTGCTGAGTACAGTGTTTTTCAACTTACTTTTTATGATAAAGAATTTTTCTAGACATGTTTCTAGATTAAGTTTCTTGTTTAATTAATAACCTACAGAGTTTTCGCTATATTTTGTTTTAACTGAATAAAATAAAAGTTGTCTGCTGAGACTGTACAGGCATCAGAAAAAGCTTACACAAGGCAACAGGTTAGTATGTATCAACATAAGCGTAAATATGCTGGGTACTACACAAATCAGTGAAATGAAAATTCACAATACTGCAATGAACAATTCGAGCTGGTGACGTCATATTGGTAGAATCTTTAATCCATCACAAATGTTCGGTAAAAGTTTTTTATGCTTGCTTTAGCTAAATGAAAGATAATAACAATTTCATAATTACGAATCAAAATTGTTATCATGCACATTTTTTTTCTTCAGTAAATTTCTCTAAATTACAGACTCATCTAATTACATATATGTGCATGTTATCATCTCTGCCATAGGCATTTAGATTCTATATAAATTGTGTAATCGTTTTTAACTGTATCCCAGTTCAGGTCTGTTAAATCTTTATTGAACCATCCAGCTCAGGTCTGTATAAATCTTTAGTGTATCACCCCAGTCCTAGTCTGTATAAATCTTTATTGCATCATCCCAGTCCTAGTCTGTATAAATCTTTATTGTATCATCCCAGTCCTAGTCTGTATAAATCTTTATTGTATCATTCCAGTCCTAGTCTGTATAAATCTTTATTGTATCATCCCAGTCCTAGTCTGTATAAATCTTTATTGTATCATCCCAGTCCTAGTCTGTATAAATCTTTATTGTATCATCCATGCCTTAGTCTATATAAATCTTTATTGTATCATCCCAGTCCTAGTCTGTATAAATCTTTATTGTATCATCCCAGTCCTAGTCTATATAAAACTTTATTGTATCATCCTAGCCTTAGTCTATATAAATCTTTATTGTATCATCCTAGCCTTAGTCTATATAAATCCTAGCCCTTAGTTTGTTTAAATCATCCATGTATTGTCAGAGCCAAAGTCTGTATACATCTTCATTATATTATCCTTCCGAACCAAAGTCTATGGAAAGAGAATAAACAGAAATCACCCCATTTACTGAAAAAAAAAAACAGAAATCACCCCATTTGTTGGAAAAAAACCAAACAGAAATCTTCCAATTTGTTTAAAATTTTTTGTATATAATCATGCTCATGATAAGCACTGACAAGCATGCTTTGGTCATTCAGATGGGTACTCAGTTTAGCCTTAAGGACATTCAGGTAAATTTCAATAAAATCATGAGACATAATACAATTGAAATAGGCCCAACTTTTCGCCCTCCACACTGACAGATTTGTTACAAAGTTGTCAAAACTTGTTCTAATATGATTCAAAATGTTATGGTATTATGTAATCTTGTGACAGAAAACCATTATTTCTAGGAAATATCATTAGTGTTATAAGACTTTTTTCATAATTAGTGATATTCTCTAATGATATCTTCAATTTCTTTGTCCTTAAGTTGCATAAAAGGCTATTCAATATGTTGATCTCCTAAATTGAGTCCTAATGATTCTTAGTTTCCAAGACAAAATGCTATCTTTTTTTTACTCTATTCAAGACACCAATTTAAATGAAATTACAATTAACAACATACTGTACCAGCATCAATCTCACAGACATTTCCTTAAAATACCACACTTTTTCAGACATCCTCGAACATGTCACCTCTCACAAATTATCAAACACACATTACCATACACAAGCTTCATTCACATTCAAACTAATAAAAGCAACTGTCTTCCCCAGTCCAAGTGAAAACATATAACATGGATTATATATCAGTCTATCAAGAATTTCTTCCCTTTCTTAAGATATGTCGCAAAGGAAGTTCATAAAGCTCTTCACATTTAAGTTTTTTCCCTTCTGACTTGCTTAAAGATCAGAAGAAATGAAGTTCCATACCATCTGATTGCCACATTATCAATGCCACATTGGTATAACACATTCCGACATGTGCCCTTTTTATAAATAAGATCAGGGAAAACCAAAACTGTCCTTTATCAGTCACATTCCCTTCTTTTAAATTTCAAGAAGGGAGATAATAAGCTGTCCATATCAGAATTATCTCCCCTTATCACACGGGAATTATCACATATTATCCTAAATCTTCATGTCTTCCTGGTTGGCAATGCTGGCTAGAGTCTTTTTGATACGGAGTGTTGTGAGTCGAGCGGCAGCATTATGGTACCAACATTCCTTCATCAGGCGTGCCATCACTCTCAGTGACTGAAACAAAGAAGCCAACAGACTGTCATATCAGGACAAAGACCGATAGAAATACGTCACTTTTCAGAATCATGTATGGGGATTTATTTTTCGATGTGTGATTTTATTTACAGTGACTCTGATCTAGATATTAACCTGACAAAGTAACAACATCAACATCAGACTAACATTACAATGCTCAAGTGTATAGTTTGTATTAATCAAAGGGAGTCTTCACCCAGTACAATTAAATCAAAGGCGTTATTTGTTCCCACGTTAAGACACAAGCTCAACACTTTAAAAATGTATCACAAACGGTTATAAACTCTGAAATGTCAGGGTGGTATTTACTTGTACAATTTCACTTCATTAATAAAATAATGACAGCTTGTTTTGTACCTCATGGGAGTGCCAGCGGTTGGGGATTGCTGGACGATGTTTGTCGTCACACACAACCTTCCTCATCTCCTCCAGACTTGGGTCAGAAGGAACGAGGTCATAGAATGGCAGCTGGTATTCCTCTACAATACCTAAAATCAAATCAACTATGTAAGAAGAAATGCTTCAACAAAACCGCTATAAATATATCTGATTAAAAAAACATACTCGTTAATTATACATTATACTTGAATTAAATATTTTTTATCTAATCCTAACCCAACAAAACAATTCTTTAATCTATTTTCAATTGTAAATACTTAAAATGTTGCAAAGTGGTACAACCGGACTATGTTTTCCATGCACACATCATTATAGGCGTTGCTTGGTTGAAATTTCTGTCAGTTTGAAGAGACAAGCAAAGTGATACCCAACATGATGGCCTTTAACATGCAAAGATGATAGTACTGTTGGCCCTGTAACGTCTTGCATCGTCCACGGCAGTTAAGTTGGCTTGGGTTACTTTAGTCATTGTGTAGGCCATTTAGAATTTATGCCAGTTTGATTATATATATCATATATAATCTGCCAGTGGAAAGCTCAGGTTTACCTGCCTGGGATCACCTGTCTACACAGTTTCCCTTTGTACTCGATTATCTTCCTTACCTCCCAAAGAACATCTTCTTGTGATTTCCCACAAAACAAGACCAAAGGCATAAACATCTGCACGCTTGAAAGACTCAAAGTGAGTCATATTGATAGATTCATCCAAGACTTCAGGTGCCATGTATCTCTTGGTTCCCACTCGGTTGTTAGGGGCAATATCAACAGAGTCGGTAGCAATATCATGTCTCACAGCCAATCCTATAAAAAGAATCACAAAACATTAAAAGCTACAAAGTCATCATTTTAAATTTTTTGAAAAGAACTTAAAAGATTTATTTTTACTTTACTAGGTTTGATACATTTTACAACCACTTCAAATACCAAGAATTACTACCACTCAACTGACCAGGTCAGGGCCATCTAAACAGGTGTTTGAGACACAAGTAAACACAAGTACACATTTCTTATTGTAGCACATGAAATCTTGTAATGGTGTATAACACTGACTGTCAGAGGCTAGAGAGCCACATACATATTCTAAATTATTAAAACAAACTAGAAAATGTCTGTAAGACATGAATTATTAAAACAAACTAGAAAATGTCCCCCCCCCCCCCCCCCATGTGAAATAATAAGATCCAAATGAAGTTGTTAGGTGGTATATACTGATTAGGGACGGGATGGGACGGGACGGACGGACATGGGCAACGCTATATGCCCCCGGCCATAAATGGCGGGGGCATAAAAATGTATGCAATGTGATGAAATCATGGTTACTATAAACATACAGTATTTTCTAGTAGTAACCATATTTCAGTGCTTTTTGTGCAACACCATCTACGAGGGCTGATTCATAAGTTGTGAGCCTTGTATTGAAGAAGTTAAGCAGTGATGTCCTTTTTCAGCTCTACTATTCTAAAACTATTTAAGGCTGTGAACTCAAAAACTGGTGTCATTTGGTAAGTTTATGTGAAAGAGGTCGCACTCAAAATTAAATGTAGGAGTGATTCAATATTTGCTTAAGAAAGGTCATGCACCTAAGGATATCCATACTGATATGGTATCAACACTAGAGAATGATGCCCATTCACATGCTAGAGAGAAAAGGTGGGTTGTGGCATTTAAGCATGGCAGGCAGAACCTTGGGGATGACATCCATCGTGGAAGGCCTGACACTGCTGCAACCCCAGAAATGGTCAATAAAGTCCATGGTATTATTATGGCTGACTGGCAAGTTTCAGAGAGATATATAGCCAGTGCAGTTGGGATTTCACAGGAAACAGTATATTCTATTCTTAAATAAGACCTTGCAATGAGAAAGCTCTCAGCCCGTTGGGTACCAAGACTTCTGACATTTGATCAGAAGCACACCACACTAATCTGAATGTTTTAGAGACAGAGTCGGGAGGCACCTATTTTTTTACCCATACCACGTCATCCATACAGTAAAATTTATTTTATACAACAAAGTTTTTGCCAAATCAAGTAACTCTCACAATTAAATTTGTTTCTTCAATAATCTCTACAGTATTTTATTTTCCATTTTACCAAGAAACTCACAAAATTTTGAAAATATTGCCGGTTTTTCCGAAAATATTAATAAAATATCAGCATATTTCCTTAACTGTATCAAAAAAAGCTTGCAGACTATTTCCTATTTCTATATGCATAAACACGCTTAATAAAGATGTTTCAAGACAAAACAATAAAATCAATACTTCACTTCACATTTCAGACTTGAAAAGTTGTCAATTTTCAATCTATTAGCTACCATAAGTATACTGAAATTTTCTTAAGGAATGCAGTAGATAGAACTTGTTATATCTCAGTTTTACTTAATTTATTTCACATCTTGGGAAAAAAGAAAATTGTACAATGTATTGGTGTTATTTTGTATGAAGAACATGCCACCAGTCAGCTTTACTAAAACCAACAACAAATGCTTACTAATGAATGGCCTATTAAGGATTCCAGGCTACTTTGGCAAAGTCGAGAAGCCACCTCCTGTATACTCTAGTTTTCTTTCACCACATTTTTCTAAGTTGCATTAGTTCTTGCATTCCACATCAGTTTCAAATCCAACACAACTTACTTCCCTTTAACTTTTGGATTGGGAACCAATGCACATTTGAAAAAATAAATAGATGATTTAATTTCAATCTCCTTAAAAATAAAAAACCTGATTTTCTTTTACCGACAAAATCTGATTTTCTGTATCAAGTTTTCCCCCCCCCACAATTTTCTGGGGTTCCCATTTAACCAGTAATGGCACAAATCACACAAAAAATTAATTTTAGTGTTTTCCCAACCACTCACAATTCATCTGCTACACGACCCCCCACACATTTAATTCTGGATCTGTCCCAAACTTTCGAACTTTTCAGCAGAAGTTTGTGACTATGGATAAAAAGTTAGTCCATTATTTCAAGATATTTTTCTGAGATAATGATGGTATTCTAATGGTAGATTATCTGCAAATGGCACAAACAATCAACGGCATATATTATGCATAATTTCTTAGTCAGTTGAGCATCATGGAAAAATCAATAAAGGAGTGTTGTTCCGTCAGGACAATGCCCCTGTTCACAAGTCTGTCATTGCCACGATTACATCTAATGATTGTGGCTTTGAATTAACTGAACATCCGCCTTATTCGCATGATCTCACTCTATCAGGTTTCCATCTATTTCCAAAACTAAAATAGGCCATTTCCTGCACCCACTTTCATCAGTTGATGACATCAAGTATGCAGTGGAGGACTTTCTGAACAGTTAATGAAAGGACTTTTTTATAAGTTGTATCAAGGCCCTTAAACATCACAGGCAAAAGTGTGTAGAAACTTAAGGGAATTATATTGGAAAATAATGCAATATGTCTGCAAAAAATTCACACCCATAAATATAAGGCTCACAACTTATCAATCAGTCCTTGCACATACATCAGTCAGGGACATGTAATACATTTTTACTTACCTAGATCAGCTATACAACAGGTACCATTGTTTTTCACGAGAATGTTTTTACTTTTAAGATCCCTATGGGCTATTGCCGGCTTTCCTGCATGTACTGAAAAAGAAATTTATTTACTTAAACAAGTGGTTCCAACAGATATTACCTCAATTTATCAAATTTAGTTATTTTTATAAGTCAAAAAAGCACTATATTGAAAATTTGTGAAAATATCAAACACATTCTGAGAAAAAATGTAAATCTATTGATAATCTCCAGAGTGCAGTATACCTTCTGTTCCTATGATCTCCATGTGTAGGTGAGCTAGGCCACAGGATGCAGACAGAGAAAGCTTCAACATGCCAGAGATGCTAACTACAGTGCGGTTGAGGTAATCAAACAGTGAGCCGTTCTCATGGTAGTCGGTAATGAGCCACAACTGGGTCCAGGTTCCATTATCTGTGAGATGTAGAAGTATTTTAACATGTACTTATTTTAATTAAATATATGCCTTTTTCCCGTTTTTTCCCTTATATGGCAATGTATTATCTAGAACCCTTAATGACCATCAAAATTTAATCAGGTGTAGAACTTCGTGATGTTAAATTAGACCCAGAATAAAGAGATCTTACAAATAAGAAGAAAACAGTGCCAAAAGAACAATTTTACAACTTAAGTATCAATTCTCAAATTTTACCCCCATTTTCTGGAATCTTTTGTCCATCTTTATAAAGATTTGTTTTGTTAGTTTGTTGGGTTTATCACCCCATGAACAGCAAAGGTCATCTTGAGGTCATGTCTAATTCACTAAACAACATATGGAGGCCCATCGCATGCCATCCAGAGCAATTATGTAAAGTGTCTCCTTTAAGGTCAAAACTATGACAACATAGTCTGGTCCATTTCTCAGTTGCCCAAGAAACACAAATCGCCATGGGTAGAGAGCCCTGGACAAAATACCTCAGATCTTCACCTGAGAATATGTTGGGCAACAATCTAACTGCCTGAGCAATGATGTACCTCACTATAAAGAAGAATTTTTTGTGTTTTAACATTCAAATGAAGGACTTGCCTTTGTTGTCAGCTGCTATAAAACCTAGAATGTTTTCGTGTCGTAACATAACAGTTTGATAGATCTCGGCTTCCCTGAACCACGACCGTTCCTCTCTGGAGGGAAAGATCTTCACAGCTACATTCTCCCCTCGCCAGCGACCTCGATACACTTCTCCGTATCGACCTTTACCAATGGTCTCCCTCACCTGGATCTGTCGGGCAATTGTCCGCTGTACCAGTAATGGTAGACCTATAGAAATGGTTTCAGATTGAGTAACAAATCCCTTATTATCAAGCAGTGGAAACAACTGTATCTTTGCTGAACGTGTTATTGTTCTACAGATAAGAAGAGGCCCATAAGGCATGTATCCCTCACCTGGATCTTAAAAGCCAAGCAAAGTTATACATACCTATAGACTGGGTACTGTATTTCCTTGGATATTAAGTCCACTAGCATATAAGCCACAGGGGTGGTTTATAACAATTCTTATTATTTGAACTACATATAAGATGCACTGGGTTATAAGCTGCACACTTTCTTACAATGTGGTAACTGTTTTGTTGACCAAAGTGGTGTCTGTACTTTTAAAATATTAACGGACACTGTAGTATCCCTAAAATGACATCAGGATTCCATATCACATGTATCCAAGTAGTAAGATATATATTTGAAGATACCAAATACATTGTCATGATGGAAGGATTGGTGCCGAAATGATAGAGAGAATGAGTAAAACATGGCATGACATGGCAAGTAAGTATGAATCCTCTAGACATACTGTTGTAAAGTTTGACGTGATTCTTACCTGATCCAGAACCAGAATACTCATACATCATTTCTCGCAGCGTACTGCTAGACTGACCCTGCTGCACAAATGGCATGGTCTCTTGGGATGCGTCATTAGGCATCTGGTATCCATGGCGATTTCGCTGGCACTGATGATAAGCAAAGAATAGGACCATGAAGAGGATGGACACAATGAGGACAGGACACGCAATGAGAATGACAAGCTCCGCTGTACCAAACTGCAACTTGGTTTCTGAATTATCATCTGTTAAATAAGAACAAAAAGAAAACTTTACCACCTTGAAATAAAAGAGATATGTTTCACTCTACAACCTATTGACATATGAACATTTTTCCCATTTCACAGTCTTTATTATGGTTCAAAGAGTTTAATCATGATCATTTCAAAATAACAAGAGACCCATAGGGCCTGTTCCGCTAACCTGAATTTTGCTTGGCTGAAATTGTTTCTATAAAACTCTCCCCTAGGAATGTTTCAGACCAAATTTGGACAAAATCCAATCATTCCTACAGGAGAAGTACCATTTCTAAAAATTTGCTTTATTTCCCCTGTTGTGTCTCATCCAAGACCAACCGTTTATACAAAAGTAATTCCCCTTTCCCCTACAATACTTCAGACCAAATTTGGCCAAAATCCAATCATTCCTACAGTAGAAGTAGAATTTTGAAGAATTTGCAAAATTTCCCATAGTGGCATTTATAAAAATTTGTTTCCCTTCACTCAAGGACACTTCTCAGCAAATTTTGTTCAAAACCCATCATTCATGACTAGTGGAGATTTGTAGAAAAGGTTGAGGGACAGACGGCGCAGTATGCCAATAGTTCGCTTGGCTCTTTGGGCCAGGTGAGCTAAAAACTTATATAAATGATGGATAAATTCTAAAATTTGCCATCAGAAAAGATATTCAGACATTAGTAATTGTTAGCAAAAATTAATGAGATTTGCCCTAAACCATGTGACACGCCACAGAGAATGGGCTAAAACTCTGTAAATATTTCAGCAACGTATCTTAATTTAGTATGCATTACTCCACAATGTCATTCCTTCTATCATAACTATGAATAAACTGAGAAATTTATGAAAACATGTTTACTCTGCATGAACGTAAATCTATACTGTAGAACCTTTAGGGAAATTAAATACATGTAATAAAAAGTGTAGTAAAAAAATGTGTGAAAAAGGTAAAGCAAGCAGCAAATTGTACAGGTGCTTATATGACAGTGTAGTGATCTGGGAATATAAGCTGTGGCCGACATGAGATATGTTTCCTTTATTGCTAAGTTGTTAGTCACAAACTCCTGTCTCCATAAAGTATAAATTGGGCCTTTCTGAGTACATTGTTTAAGTTAGAACATTTTCATCGATAGATTTCCATATATATAGCAGATCTATCTAGGAGATTCAAAACACCTCCCCCCCCCCTCCCCACCTTCCCTATCTAATCCAAATAAATTTTTCTGCCCTTCTTACATACAATTATGAAAAAATTAGAAAAACAATGCCCTTACATCCTTTCGTAAATCAACAATTAGCTGAAAAGAGCGATCCTTTTTCTCCCCTCTTTCAATCTGCTGAACTCTATCAATATTATTTTCATTCATTGCTCCCACCAACTGTAAAATTTATTGTTTTACCATCCTCTGGCTTACCCAGCGATAAATTCTGGATTACAGAAGTGCCCCTTTTCGCACTGTTTAATTAATTAGAATTAGTGACACAAACATGTCAATCAACTCAGATGTGGACTGAAACTCTTGACTGTTGCTTGCTTAATACCTCTCTGCTTTATTATAACAACATTTCGATTTAAAATGCTGTATGAATTATCAAAAATGATTTGCAAAGATTATTTCTCTCGCAGTAAACTTCTAGATAATAATACATCACATTTTCCAAGGAGAAGCACCTGAAACTCTATTTAGATAGCATATTGTTAGGTAGATTGTCCAAATTTGAACAGAAAATTCAAGTATTGTCAGCAAAGAAACCCATTCGCTAAAAAACAAACAAAATGACAACAACGATTTATAGACCTACATCTGAGTCCACAATAACTGTAAAGAGGGCGATCAGAGACGAAGTATTTGTTTACTTTTTGGCCTAAGTTTTGTTTTGATGAATTACATATGATTTCCTTTGTGTCAATTATCAGTATACAGTGGACCCTTGCTAATCCAGACACATTCCTTCCTGGCCAAAAACGTCCTGATTACCAGTTTTCCAGACTGCAGAATTAAGTAAACTTGCCAAGATAAACTGAGTTACCTCCCTTGGTAACTACAATTATTGCAATAACAGGTGTTTATTAATGCGTTTTTAATGTGCATTTCTAATTGCAATAAATTCATAAAATTGCAAAACTAAAAGTTGTTAATTCACTGAAGTCCACTTACACAGATGATTTTCAAACACCTGCTTGAAAACATTACTGATTATTTACTCAAAATATTTGACAAAGAATGCTTCAGAAAATGATAAATTAACTGCACTATAAATTCCACTGGATAAGACAGCTAGAAGGTCAGATGTCACCTGTATTATAGTTAAGATACAGATTCCTAACAGAAGCTCATCTTTTGCTTAATTACATGAGAGAGACTATAATTAATCATATAAAACAATATTTCCTAAGTACTACATTACAAAATAAATCTTTCATAATCACTGATCATAATATTCAGTAATAGCCTATATCAATATTTGAAAGACTTTCAATGTTCAAATAGAACTGTACCAATGTCATCAGGATGGCCAACAAATATCACATTATCCCCTTGCCTTAATCAAGTTGGGGTGGTCCTGACAAGATTTCTCCAAGAGGTCTTCTTTTCATTTAGTCACCATGGTACCCAAATGGAATTTTTTTTTTTCAAAAATGAAAATCGTATCATTGTATTTGTCATCCCCTTTAACCTTTTGTTACCAATTTTCAACTTAATCAGATAACACCTCAATTTTGACCAATCAGAAGTCTCTAAAGTGTTTCCATGTTAATGGTTTTTAAACACCTAATATGTCAATTCATATCCTATAATTAGCTGCAGCATTTGATCATTTTAAAAGTGAAAGGACACAAGTATATCATGGGGATTTAGTATGCTAAGTTTGAGAAATATTGCTTCAGCAATTTTATTAGGTCTACTTGACACAATTATTCATACAGAATATCTACAAAAAGGGCCATAACTCTATCTAATGTTGTAGAAATTTCACAAGAAGTGAAAAATCAAAACTTTATATCATAAGGATGTAATATGCCAAGTTTGAGAAATATTGCTTCAGCACTTTTTAAGATACACTTCACAAAATGTTTCAGACAGACGGACAGTCATATCGGTACAGGGTTTTTTCCAATATATCATCCCCTCCACCCCACCGCTCAGAACTTTGTTGCAGGGGGTATATTTTTTTTCATATATTATCAATATCAATATTTAACAGAAACCAATGTTATAGGTCTACAAGTGAAAGTATTGGCAACATTTCCATTACAAACTTTGATATATATTTATCCAAGTACCTATAGAATGTATGTCTATATACGTCCTTCGTCTAAGCCAATATTCTCACTTATCCTGAACCGAACAGTATATGTTAGGTAAGCTCTCATGAGTCAAGTCTCTATTTCTACATTCAGAAAATTTTTCGTAACACTTTGTAATGCAAAGCAGAGATACTGACAGAGTGAAACCAAGGGCAGTAACTCTGGGATATCACAATAATTATTATTGGATCAATACTTGGTTTATGTATGTCAAGCATGTATTTACCACACAAAGCAAAACTGTCTCAGCATTTCTACAATTAATCAGAAAAGGGGTTAGTCAAAGAAAAGACATATAGTTAAAAAGGAAGGAGACATGCATGAAAACTACACACACCAAAATTGGTGTCAAATAATCTATACTAACAGAATGATTTCCCATGTTTTGTTGGAACAAAGGTGAATACAACTTAGTAATGTTTTAAGCTTTTGTTATTATAAAAGTATCCTGATATGTATGAAAAATAAAGGGCAATAACTCCTAAATCATGCAAAAGAGAGTGATGGCTCTTGAGCATTGCACTTTTCTGTGTTGAAATCTATCTATTTACGAAGTTTCATGTTGATACCTCTTAAAGTGTTAGTGTAATGCTCCAAACAAAATTTAAGTATTAAAAACAACAAAGGGCAATAACTCCTAAACAAACTTACAGTTCAACACCTGTCCCTTGCTATAAATCAAATTTTCTATGAAACATTGTCCATAATAGCAATGAACTAATGACTAATTTTAACATTTGAAAGTCTTCCCTCCAAAAGCCAGTGTTTTAACAGGAACCAAAAGCAAATTTTACTTCCTGTATCTTTGACGTGGGGCCCTAAAATTGTGATGGATATCTATTGTATTAAAAGACCTTCATAGCCTTTTGACCTCTAGTTCAATTCCACCCTATATATTTTCCGATAATATAAGATTGCATCAAATTTCAATACAATCAGTCAACTCTATCACAAGTTATCGTCTGGAAGCCAAAATATGATCATAAAGTCTAGTTTTAATAAAAATGACCTTCTCAGTTAACTTTTTGACCCAAAATTCAATCCCACTCTGTGTTACCTCATACGTTAACATTGTATGAAGTTTCAACCAAATCAATCAATCCCTTCAGAAGTTATCATCTTGAAACCAATATATGACGAAAAATATCTATTTTTAGCAACAGCATTCCTTTCCACCCCAAACTCATCTCACGCTGTATTACCATAAATTTTCGCGTATAGTGCACACTTTTTCAACCTAAAACTGCCGTGTCAAAAAGGGGGTGTGCATTATATGCAGGAACATGCCATTCTTGGTGTTATCATTCCTGATTTCTGCGTCCACCATATTGGATTACCTCCCTTCACCAATATAATGACGAAAAATATCTATTTTTAGCAACAGCATTCCTTTCCACCCCAAACTCATCTCACTCTGTATTACCTCATAACCTAACACTAAATGAAGTGTCATTCAAATCCATCAATCTTTCCTCAAGTTATCATCTGGAAACAAACATCTGGACAAAGTAGCAACTACATACTCTACATTCTGGAAGCAGTACAATACCCGAGTATCATGTTTCAGTAAATTTAGTTTAAAGGTATCTCTACTGTACCATTCTTTACAACATACTCTATACTTACAATCTATTTTCATGAGACTCAAATATATCTTAGAATATAATAGTTTAGCAAATTCACTTGTAAAAACAGCAAAATAAGGAATTCAAAATTATGAGTCTCTCTCCAAAATAGGGAGGGTTGGCAAGTATGCAATTAATTTGAGGCATTTTCTTTTTTCAACAGCAAAATTAACACACAATAATAAGTCACAAACAACAAAAAAAACAAAATAAAATAAAATTGTCTTACAGCAGTTTTCATACATTTCGTGTCAGAATGCACCACAAAATTTAGTTCAGATACATGAATACACATTATACAAGCAGGTATAAATACATGAGTAATAGACATTTCTGTCCATCAAGTTATCATATCCTCCTACATATATGCTGCTAAGGTAATATGAAGTGGAATATGATAACATTTCAGACTGAATTCAACTCAAGTGACAACAGAAACAACACAATATTTTAACTAAACATATTGAAAGCTGTCAAACTACAGCATGACCTCTGACCTCCAGGGATGAATGTTGTAGCAGGTGCATAGGTTGGCTTCAGGTATTGGTTACATAAGTCTGGACCCGAACAGCAGATTATATGGCTTTCATGCTTTTTAATGGCAGACACCATACAATGGGGAGTATCACCCTGCATCTTTCCGTTCTGGACTCGGATGGGGATCTTTGCCTCTGTGAGACATCTGAAACATGTCATGATTCAAACATCATTTGTCAAAAGAAGAAACCCTCGTTAAATTAACCAAGCTGATAGAGAAATCTTGGTAAGATCTCTACTTACTTTGAATAACATCAGGCTATAAAATGCATTAAAAAATCTTACCCTTGGATGTTGAGACTAAATTCAATGTCAAATCCCTTTTGTCTTGTCTTGGATTTACGAAGAATATCTGAAATGCTACACACTCTCTAAAGTATTCCAATGTAGCCATGACAACCAAATCAGAGCAGCTGACACACATCGGTAATCGTTACTGAGGGACTACAGAGAATGTCAAAAATGTAAGTATAGTCAAACTTAGATGTATCCAATTTCAAGGGACTATAAAAAAAATGTGATAAATTGAGACTTTAAATCCATCATGGTGGGTTATATCGACGTTTTCATGTTCATGACTATAGTTGATGACACAACATTTCTACCTAAACAAACAAAACTGGTATCAAAACCTAACTCGAAATGAAAGGAGACTATTTTCATTCGCGAATTAAAAAACAACTATTAATATGATTTAAAAAGAAACTGACAATGCATGCTTATGTTTACATTTCTCTGCGTGCCTTCTTGTACAATATATGTATTTTATGGATTGATTTTAAATGAAACGATACCCAGCATTAAAATGGTCATCTTGTGTTACAATAATCATTTAAGAAGCGATACAGAATTGTTATAGGCACTAATGAATCTAAAAGAATTCAAATTAATGCCATAATCTATGTTCAGAAAAGAAAGCAATACTATTACAGAGCTAGTCTGAATCAACAGGATAACACTAACTGACAGAGAAACCACCATGTTTCTTATGCTTATGTGCTTGAAGCTGAATAGTGATGCATTGAGTCACTATTATCTTTGTCGATGAAATGACATAACTTGTAAGAAAGCAATTACACCATAATTTGTGTCTAGTCATTAATTAACCTTACAGAGTAAATAACTGCTAATGTAAACCCTTTGTCGGGAACCCACTTTGTTAAATGTGTGAAATTTTATGCCACAAGGCGAAAGTACATTACAAGTAAATGTTTTGTTGGAATCATGAAGGGTCAATGATGGTGTTATCGTAACTAACAGTCTGTGAAAATAGCTTGTTACATCAAAAAATTTACTTTATAAAACCTCGATCTACAAAGGGGTAATTAATGTAAGTTAGTAGTAATATATAGGAATGGAATTGAAACTGGGAAAAAACTTTGATTCATAAAGAAGTTTTACTGTTATCAACTTCACATATAAGGCCAGTCGGCAAGTTAATAACACTGTCACTGGATTTCAAAGTCAGCACTGTGGAAAAAAATAAATATGTACTGAACACTGATGATAAATATCCATAAGACATATTGCCTGTGCTTAGGGATCTAGCATTTGGAAGCTCTAGGCCTGGTGCAACATATAAGTGTAATAGGACAATGGCTTTTTTGGGCAGAACTTCAGTGTGTAGCTTAGTAACAAATAAATGCTCCTATTTATTGATTTATCACCGAGACTGAAATATGATGTTGTCCAGTGAGTGGTTGGTGCAACGTGCGGTGACCAGATGGGACAGAGAAGATCACATACCACCAATGTCAGTCTCGCTACAGTTAGTACAATACAGTGGGGGCAGGGGACCTGAGTTGCACAGATCATCCTGGCAACAAAAGTTGTACCCTAGGTGCATATTACGCAACCGATGACAGAGTTGTGGCCCCTTGGGGCTCTGTATCATAGACCCGGAAAAACAACTGAAAATAAATATTATACATTGCTAATATTTGTTTTAGTATACATCACTACACAAAATCAGAATTTTCCTAAAGCCAATATGAACTTTTTGTCTCTATAAACAAAAAATGTTTTTTAGAACAACATGACAACTTTTAAAATGCAAACAATTTTCTATTGCAATATAGTGGTACCTATATATCTTATTTATTGTATACCTTATTTTGATATATGCATTTGATTTATGATGTCTGATACCTTAATCAATTTGTGTTGAAGTTCGTGGAGTCTCTAATTCATTCTGAGTCAAATTTCAGTTATCAATCTGCAGAGTCCTGATCAAGCCTTAATTAGTTTAAACTTGAGATGAGACTGGGTCTAGATCTTTTCTGAATCAGAGTCTGGGTTGTGTATTTTATTAATCTGAATCTATGTGGGGTCTTTAATCAGTCCGAGTCAAAGTTAAGTCTTTAAACAATCTGAGTCTGGGTTGAGTTTTTAGTCAATCTGAGTCCGAGTTGAATCTTCAATCAATCTTAAGGTGAGAAACTCTTTCATCAATTATTTTTTTAATGAAATGTCTACTGACAAAAGAACTTCATGTGTACGGTATTTTTTCAAACTTATACCGACCTGTAGCTGATCTTGTCCTCTCGAGTGCCACCCATCTTTGTGATTGATGTAACACATCGTCCTCCATCACCAGCGTCACATGTACCATCCAAACAATCAGAGCAGTAACATTTCAATCCTACAACATACAATAATAAATGATAGATATACAGTATTGGAGTTTTGTGAAATACCAGCAACTAAAACATTTTCAGTAAGGTGGAATGGTGTTGCTGTGTAACACACCTCACCTCACTATTGCATGAACCCTGAGGCAATAACTGTCACCTCCAAACAACAACCTACTGTGTAAGACACAATAAAAGCATCCAACTTAATTTAGATAGATTTGGAAAAGCATGTTGCTAGTGGATATATTGGTGTTCATTTCTAGTCACTTTCAACATTTTTTATCAGCCAAAAAACAGCGGGATGGTCAGAAAGAATAACAGTGCTGTCGATTTAAGACGGGCCATGGTGCTCAGAAAAAGGGCAGGAAATAATTTAGTTTTTGGAAATAAGGAGAGGGCGCTGTGCCATGCTGTTCTGTTCTAGCTGGAACACTGGAAATATAAGCTGAATCTTTTATAATTGCTTGTGCTTGTATAAATTGGCAAAATGTAGTATTGTTATAGATTTATTTTTCCTTTATATGGAAAAGTATGACACTTCTTATCTAATTTAAATACTTTTTCAGCTGTAAAAGAGTACGAAATATATCACTGGTTCATATATAGGTTTAAGTGTCAGGGTAGCTTTATTTTCAACGCCAAAAAAGTTGATGACACCAAAAGATGTTTTTTCTGCATTTAGATACTGGTTTGTAAATACTCTGGTACCTCACTAGACATCTATAGAAGGAGATTCCTGGTCACCTTATCAGCCTTATCTATAGAAAGAGATTCCAGGTCACCTTATCAGCCTTAACTCGTGGGAAATTCCCATCAGTAAAGCAGAAGAGTGTATGACTACAGAGCATAAAGTTGCTTGTTCACATGCCAGTAGGGACATGGTGTTTTGCTTTATTTCTTGCTAATAAAGAAAAATTTCACACATACTATCATATACAAAGATGAGACAAGGAATTGGAATCCCCAGTAATGTTTTGCACCAATGACAGATAGCTATATGTAGCAACATGACTGACATAGCATCAAACAGCTTCACTCACCAAGACACTTCATCATGTGTGCAGACAACTAGAGTACGGCTGAACGAGACTATGTGAAAAGCATCTTACTCAGCAAACATAGAGATTGTTTTGAAAGGACAAACTAGGAAAAACAAAACACTATGAACTAGATAGGACCACAATAAGTACAATATTCAATCAAGGAAAAGTTCCTTAAACTGTAGGTTGAATTATTATTGCAAAATATTTTTTCACCTTTGTTTACCACAATGAAATACACGTTATAATACTATGCTTGCTCCAAATGGTTTTTTCCATTACTGATATTAAGCATATCATTTCTTTTTGATATATTATTAACAAATCGATTTCATTCTGTATTTGGAAGAAATAATAAGAGTTCACAAATTTCTGCATCACCACTTATAACATCCAATTGACAAATCCAGAGGTAGCTTGAGATACCGTTGAATTATGATTTCTCTTAAATATGGACCATGCATTTATGTCCATCAAACCTCCTCCGATGCCAGATAGGATTATACCCAATATTATTTGGCCTATCATCGGAGACATTCATGTGGTCATAATATAGTATCCAAATCCTCCTTACATTGAGGATAAAAGGAATCATGACGATAGATCAAGCGTACATATCTATGTATGAACATTCTAGAGTTTGGAAAAAACAAAACAATATCCAATCACCGATTGAGAGATTCATGGTTCAACGTCTTGCCTAGAGTTGCTTTCAGGCAAAACTACTTATGTATAGATGCTTGATGATGTCGACCAACTCTAGAAATACAAATAGTAAATACAATGCATTACCTGTTGCAATATCGAAACCGCAAGAAACGATTAATAACAACGGGAATATAACATAACAAATATCCATTTTCCTCGACAGCATCCATTAAAAAAGTGACACAGGATACGTATCCGCTAGAAAATAGTTCCTTGCTTTTAAAACAAATTCTGCGATATCGCAGAAAAAATATACTATAAATAGATAACAGAGCTTTAATACTACACGTTTTTCAATCTCAAGAAACTTTCGGTTGATAAAAAAGTCATCCTTATCATAATTTAATGTAAATTATTCTATTCGGAAGTATGTGTTGTGCGTAGGGTAAAAATCCGAGATCTGTTTCCGAAGACTTAAAGTAATCAGACTGACGCGTATGAATATTTTATCAAGGGGCACCTAAAGGGAAATCGTCTGGCACATACTTTAGATATAGGTCAAGGGAGGGGGGCCTTCTTCGGATTATCTGTAAATAAAAAAAAAAAAAACATAGACACTTGTTCGTAAAAGATGAACATATACGCATAAGAAAGAAAATCAAACGATGAAAGAAAATGATAAAACGACAAGGAAAATCAAGTTTTCTTCTTTTCCATCAAATGGAATGAGACATTATTTAGATCATAATTATTCATAATTCAAGTAACACATAAGTATATTTGAATTACAGTTAATAATGACATACCTCTTTTATTGACATCCCCATCAAAATTTTTTTCTACGTGGAAATTGATGCTAATTTGTTATTCTCAAATGGTTCTTGTTTAGAGAACACTGGAGACAATAACAATTTTACAAAATAGATCTGATATTTATATTGAAAAAGATTTTACATAAATTTACATAGATTTTGCTCAGATATACATGCAGAGTACGTCATTTTGTCAATATTCAGTCTAACACCCTTTCCTTACACATCGGTAAAGATACTTCATCATATCAAGAGTAAATGTATCCGTTGGTATTTAAATTACAGTGACATGATATGGCTGAGGGTCAGCAACTGCGAGAACCAAATAAATGCCTGAAATTTCTCAAGTTAAGTCACTAGAAGAGACTATAATTGCCAGAATTTAAATGCATTAGATTTAGTCTTTCCAGGGCAGATATTTATTTAATTTCGCATAGGAAACGGTGGCAATTTTTATGGTTTTAAAATAGTTGAAAACATTTTCCGTATTTAGACTTCACCAAATCATGATGTAGTTGTGTAAGGATGTATAATACAGAGGGATAAGAAACTATCTTACAACAGGAATACTACCCTGTACTGTTCACCCATTTCAGTCAAAACAGATTATTATTACCTTATATAGTATCCGCATCTTTGGTTTAAGGTGAAAATCTCAATATCACTGAATAAGCAACATTATTATACAGACAGAAAGTATCATATTAAAGCTGTGGTCTTCCCTAACGACAGACATAAATCGTCTTCCGATGGACATATCATACCACAGCTCGTGTTGATCATTTGTACCGACAGACATATCATACTACTGCTTGTGTTGATCTTGTGTACCGACAGACATATCATACGACTGCTTGTGTTGATCTTGTGTACAGACAGACATATCATACGACTGCTTGCATTGATCTTGTGTACCGACAGACATATCATACGACTGCTTGTGTTGATCTTGTGTACAGACAGACATATCATACTACTGCTCGTGTTGATCTTATTTACCGACAGACATATACTACTGCTCGTGTTGATCTTGTGTACCAACAGACATATCATACTACTGCTCGTGTTGATCTTATGTACTACCAACAGACATATCATACTACTGACATATCATACTACTGCTCGTGTTGATCTTCTTTACCGACAGACATATCATACTACTGCTTGTGTTGATCTTATTTACCGACAGACGTATCATACTACTGCTTGCGTTGATCTTGTGTACCGACAGACATATACTACTGCTCGCGTTGATCTTGTGTACCAACAGACATATCATACTACTGCTCGCGTTGATTTTGTGTACAGACAGACATACCATACTACTGCTTGCTTTGATCATATTTACCGACAAACGTATCAAACTACCGCTCATATTGATCTTGTGTACTGACAGACGTATCATACCACTGCTTGCGTTGATCTTGTGTACCAACAGACATATCATACTACTGCTTGTGTTGATCTTGTGTACCAACAGACATATCATACTACTGCTTGTGTTGATCTTGTGTACCAACAGACATATCATACTACTGCTTGTGTTGATCTTATTTACCGACAGACATATCATACTACTGCTCGTGTTGATCTTCTTTACCGACAGACATATCATACTACTGCTCGTGTTGATCTTCTTTACCGACAGACATATCATACTACTGCTCGTGTTGATCTTGTGTACCAACAGACATATCATACGACTGCTTGTGTTGATCTTGTGTACTGACAGACATATCATACTACTGCTTGTGTTGATCTTGTGTACCAACAGACATATCATACTACTGCTTGTTGATTTCTTTATCATACTACTGCTTGTTGATCTTGTGAACCAACCTTGACAGACATATCATACTACTGCTTGTGTTGATCTTGTGTACCGACAGACATATCATACTACTGCTTGTGTTGATCTTTACCAACAGACATATCATACTACTGCTCTTATGTTATCATACTTGTGTGTTGATCTTGTGTACCAACAGACATATCATACTACTGCTTGTGTTGATCTGCTTGTGTTGATCTTGTGTACTGACAGACGTATCATACCACTGCTTGCGTTGATCTTGTGTACCAACAGACATATCATACGACTGCTTGCGTTGATCTTGTGTACCAACAGACATATCATACTACTGCTCGTGTTGATCTTGTGTACCAACAGACATATCATACTACTGCTTGTGTTGATCTTGTGTACCAACAGACATATCATACTACTGCTTGTGTTGATCTTGTGTACTGACAGACATATCATACTACTGCTCGTGTTGATCTTGTGTACCGACAGACATATCATACTACTGCTTGTGTTGACTTGCTATGTGTGTTGATCTTGTGTACCAACAGACATATCATACGACTGCTTGTGTTGATCTTGTGTACTGACAGACATATCATACTACTGCTTGTGTTGATCTTATTTACCGACAGACATATCATACTACTGCTCGTGTTGATCTTCTTTACCGACAGACATATCATACTACTGCTCGTGTTGATCTTGTTTACCAACAGACATATCATACTACTGCTTGTGTTGATCTTATTTACCGACAGACATATCATACTACTGCTTGTGTTGATCTTATTTACCAACAGACATATCATACTACTGCTCGTGTTGATCTTGTGTACCAACAGACATATCATACGACTGCTTGTGTTGATTTTATTTACCGACAGACATATCATACTACTGCTCGTGTTGATCTTGTGTACCAACAGACATATCATACGACTGCTTGTGTTGATCTTGTGTACTGACAGACATATCATACTACTGCTTGTGTTGATCTTGTGTACCAACAGACATATCATACGACTGCTTGCGTTGATCTTGTGTACCAACAGACATATCATTCTACTGCTTGCGTTGATCTTGTGTACCAACAGACATATCATACTACTGCTTGTGTTGATCTTGTGTACTGACAGACATATCATACTACTGCTTGTGTTGACCTTGTGTACCGACAGACATATCATACGACTGCTTGTGTTGATCTTGTGTACTGACAGACATATCATACTACTGCTTGTGTTGATCTTATTTACCGACAGACATATCATACTACTGCTCGTGTTGATCTTGTGTACCAACAGACATATCATACTACTGCTTGTGTTGATCTTGTGTACCGACAGACATATCATACTACTGCTCGTGTTGATCTTGTGTACCAACAGACATATCATACTACTGCTCGTGTTGATCTTGTGTACCAACAGACATATCATACTACTGCTCGTGTTGATCTTGTGTACCAACAGACATATCATACTACTGCTCGTGTTGATCTTGTGTACCAACAGACATATCATACTACTGCTCGTGTTGATCTTGTGTACCAACAGACATATCATACGACTGCTTGTGTTGACATCATTACTGCTTGTGATGATCTTGTGTACAGACAGACATATCATACGACTGCTTGTGTTGATCTTGTGTACCAACAGACATATCATACTACTGCTTGTGTTGATCTTATTTACCAACAGACATATCATACTACTGCTCGTGTTGATCTTGTGTACCAACAGACATATCATACGACTGCTTGTGTTGATCTTATTTACCGACAGACATATCATACTACTGCTTGTGTTGATCTTGTGTACCAACAGACATATCATACTACTGCTCGTGTTGATCTTGTGTACCAACAGACATATCATACTACTGCTTGTGTTGATCTTGTGTACAGACAGACATATCATACTACTGCTTGTGATGATCTTGTGTACAGACAGACATATCATACGACTGCTTGTGTTGATCTTGTGTACCAACAGACATATCATACTACTGCTTGTGTTGATCTTGTGTACCAAGACATATCATACTACTGCTTACTACTGCTTGTGTTGATCTTCTGTACCGACAGACATATCATACTACTGCTTGTGTTGATCTTATTTACCGACAGACATATCATACTACTGCTTGTGTTGATCTTGTGTACCAACAGTAATACTACTGCTTGTGTTGATCATTGTACTTACCAACAGACATATCATACTGCTCAGTGTTGATCTTGTACCAACAGACATATCATACTACTGCTCGTACCAACAGACATATCATACGACTGCTTGTTTTGATCTTGTGTACTGAGACATATCATACTACTGCTCGTGTTGATCTTGTGTACCAACAGACATATCATACGACTGATGTTACATCATACTACTGCTCGTGTTGTCACCAACAGACATCATACGGTACTACTGCTTGTGTTGATCAGGTACTGTATATTACTACTGATGTGTTAAAATGTATCTTGTGTACCGACAGACATATTACTGGTGTTGCTTGTGTACCAACAGTCAGTGTGTCAATAATACTACTGTCAGGTTTTACTGTATATTACAGGATGTCATTAAAGCCAGGTGTCAGTAAAGTCAGGTTTTAATGTATATTACAGGATGTCAGTAAAGTCAGGTTTTACTGTATATTACGGGATGTCAGTAAAGTCAGGTGTCAGTAAAGTCAGGTTTTACTGTATATTACGGGATGTCATTAAAATCAGGTGTCAGTAAAGTCAGGTTTTAATGTATATTACTGGGTAGCATTGAAGTCAGTTGTCAATAATGTCAGGTTTTACTGTATATTACAGGATGTCATTAAAGCCAGGTGTCAGTAAAGTCAGGTTTTAATGTATATTACAGGATGTCAGTAAAGTCAGGTTTTACTGTATATTACGGGATGTCAGTAAAGTCAGGTGTCAGTAAAGTCAGGTTTTACTGTATATTACGGGATGTCATTAAAATCAGGTGTCAGTAAAGTCAGGTTTTAATGTATATTACTGGGTAGCATTGAAGTCAGTTGTCAATAATGTCAGGTTTTACTGTATATTACAGGATGTCATTAAAGCCAGGTGTCAGTAAAGTCAGGTTTTACTGTATATTACTGGGTGGCATTGAAGTCAGGTGTCAGTAAAGTCAGGTTTTAATGTATATTACAGGATGTCATTAAAGTCAGGTGTCAGTAAAGTCAGGTTTTAATGTATATTACAGGATGTCAGTAAAGTCAGGTTTTACTGTATATTACGGGATGTCATTAAAATCAGGCGTCAGTAAAGTCAGGTTTTAATGTATATTACTGGGTAGCATTGAAGTCAGTTGTCAATTATGTCAGGTTTTACTGTATATTACAGGATGTCATTAAAGCCAGGTGTCAGTAAAGTCAGGTTTTACTGTATATTACAGGATGTCATTAAAGCCAGGTGTCAGTAAAGTCAGGTTTTACTGTATATTACTGGGTGGCATTGAAGTCAGGTGTCAGTAAAGTCAGGTTTTAATGTATATTACAGGATGTCAGTAAGTCAGGTTTTAATGTATATTACAGGATGTCATTAAAGTCAGGTGTCAGTAAAGTCAGGTTTTAATGTATATTACAGGATGTCATTAAAGTCAGGTGTCAGTAAAGTCAGGTTTTAATGTATATTACAGGATATCCTTAAAGCCAGGTGTCAGTAAAGTCAGGTTTTAATGTATATTATTGGGTGGCATTGAAGTCAGGTGTCAATAATGTCAGGTTTTACTGTATATTACAGGATGTCATTAAAGCCAGGTGTCAGTAAAGTCAGGTTTTAATGTATATTACAGGATGTCAGTAAAGTCAGGTTTTACTGTATATTACGGGATGTCAGTAAAGTCAGGTGTCAGTAAAGTCAGGTTTTACTGTATATTACGGGATGTCATTAAAATCAGGTGTCAGTAAAGTCAGGTTTTAATGTATATTACTGGGTAGCATTGAAGTCAGTTGTCAATAATGTCAGGTTTTACTGTATATTACAGGATGTCATTAAAGCCAGGTGTCAGTAAAGTCAGGTTTTACTGTATATTATTGGGTGGCATTGAAGTCAGGTGTCAGTAAAGTCAGGTTTTAATGTATATTACAGGATGTCATTAAAGTCAGGTGTCAGTAAAGTCAGGTTTTAATGTATATTACGGGATGTCATTAAAATCAGGCGTCAGTAAAGTCAGGTTTTAATGTATATTACTGGGTAGCATTGAAGTCAGTTGTCAATAATGTCAGGTTTTACTGTATATTACAGGATGTCATTAAAGCCAGGTGTCAGTAAAGTCAGGTTTTACTGTATATTACAGGATGTCATTAAAGCCAGGTGTCAGTAAAGTCAGGTTTTACTGTATATTACTGGGTGGCATTGAAGTCAGGTGTCAGTAAAGTCAGGTTTTAATGTATATTACAGGATGTCATTAAAGTCAGGTTTTAATGTATATTACAGGATGTCATTAAAGTCAGGTGTCAGTAAAGTCAGGTTTCAATGTATATTACAGGATGTCATTAAAGTCAGGTGTCAGTAAAGTCAGGTTTTAATGTATATTACAGGATGTCATTAAAGTCAGGTGTCAGTAAAGTCAGGTTTTAATGTATATTACAGGATGTCATTAAAGTCAGGTGTCAGTAAAGTCAGGTTTTAATGTATATTACAGGATATCCTTAAAGCCAGGTGTCAGTAAAGTCAGGTTTTAATGTATATTACTGGGTGGCATTGAAGTCAGGTGTCAATAATGTCAGGTTTTACTGTATATTAATGGGTAGCATTAAAGTCAGGTTTTACTGTATATTACAGGATGTCATTAAAATCAGGTGTCAGTAAAGTCAGGTTTTACTGTATATTACTGGGTGGCATTGAAGTCAGGTGTCAGTAAGGTCAGGTTTTAATGTATATTACAGGATGTCATTAAAGTCAGGTGTCAGTAAAGTCAGGTTTTAATGTATATTACAGGATGTCATTAAAGTCAGGTGTCAGTAAAGTCAGGTTTTAATGTATATTACAGGATATCCTTAAAGCCAGGTGTCAGTAAAGTCAGGTTTTAATGTATATTACTGGGTGGCATTAAAGTCAGGTGTCAGTAAAGTCAGGTTTTACTGTATATTACAGGATGTCATTAAAGTCAGGTGTCAGGAAAGTCAGGTTTTACTGTATATTACAGGATGTCATTAAAGTCAGGTGTCAGTAAGTCCGGTTTTACTGTATATTACAGGATGTCATTAAAGCCAGGTGTCAGTAAAGTCAGGTTTTACTGTATATTACAGTACATCAAATAAGTCAAATGTCAGAACAGTTGGGTTTAACTGTATATTATGGGATGTGATTACAGTCAGGTGTCAGTCAGTAAAGTCAGGTTTTAATGTATATAACAGGATGTCATTAAAGTCAGGTGTCAGTAAAATCAGGTTTTATTGCATTACTTACAGTTCACAGAACAAACCATATACAATGTTAATGGTACATCATGAATATTTAATATAACACGGTAAGTTCAATTATGACATAATTAATTCTATATGTATTTTGATAACATATATGTACAATTCTAGGCCATTGACTTCCGAAATATTTCCAATAATTAATATACAATAAGTTAGACACAGAACGGTAACTAACAAATCACGATTATAATTCCAACATTGGATTCAATTTAAGGAGAAATATAAAAGACTTATTTCTCTTATTACCTGTATATGGTATAGAATCATATCTTGGACATTCTTACATAAAAAGGAGGTGAATGCACTTGCTGTCTCTGGAGTAAACCCATACAATGACACACAGTTACACAAAGGAGATGAAAACAAATTCATGATTCTTTTCATCTCTGTTTCTGATTTATTCTTTCCATGCCACTAATTCTAATTTCATGTACACTGTCTCTTACGCAACATTATCACCTCATGATATACACCAGTAAAACTAGAATACAGGTTCTCACCCTGGATGAAATATTGTCAGTAAATCCATCTCTCAACATTCCTTACTATTAAAATATGTGGCTATTAACATTATAAAAATGATGTGAACAAGTATACTATGGTAAGATGAGTGTACTTATGATTAAGAGACTTGCAAGTTGCTATTTTCCTTATCTGTTCATAAACTACAATGTGATCATTTATGGACAAACTAGACATAGTTATAAGTTACATAATAAGAAATTAATATGTCTCTGTTGTGAGCATCACGACAACGTTATAATAATTATTCTGAATTCATGATCACAGTGTCGGAGACAAACGGCTTTCTGATGCTACATTCTTGGAATATTAAAGTCCTTTGGGAATCTTTTTTTAATGATGGAAATAACTATTAAACAGAAAAATATTTGTTGCATTCTTCTTTGAAAATCTTTTCTTTTTACCTTTTTACCAATTTGCAAATGTCAACACTGAAAATCTTAATGTTTTGAATCAATTATTCTAGGATTGAGTAAAACTGTGTTTTTGGTAATATACACATTGATATTCCAGTGATTATTCAGGCACAAATTCCATAAAACTCAGAAAAACTTGACACCGTCATTCCCATCAAAAGACATCAGTTCAGCGAGTTCTTTGCTTTCCAATGATTTCAGGGCACGTATAAGCAGCCAATTCTCCAAGCCATGAAACTCTGAAACATAAACAAAACAATTATTCTTTCGTCACAGATTTAAATAAAAAAAAGGTTGCATTCACATTTTTTTAAGCTAACCACTGCAGTCTTCACAGTTTCCTCCTTCTGACTTGTTGATCAGGAACTGCTTTGGTTACAGCTTTTGTTAAGTGATCGTGATCTAACCTTTTAAAATTAAGTTTTCATAGTGTATGGTGAAATTAACTTCATCATTTCAATCAACAAAAATTTCAAATTCAAGACAATAAAATCAACTTTGATAATGACTTTTGACCTTTGCTCTCTACAAACTGCGACCTAAGTTTTGTGTATGAGAAACAAACTACAACAAGCTACATAACATTATACCAAGGTATTTACCTCCAACTTCGTATAATTTTATACATCTTTTCGCTGATGATCTATCAAAACTAGAAAGTTATAAGTATCACCAATTAGATGACTTGGACACATTTTATCACTTGAATAGAATATTATGTAACATCAATATTTAAAACTTCATAAAAAATAAAATATAACAAGACTATTCAGCAAGGGAACCTATGCCCCAAATAAGAAGGTTCAGTGGCTAGTGGTGTAGGAGATGAAGCCCTGACCTTTTTTTATGTAGTTCAAAGGTCAAATTGTAGGTCAATGTGACCTACTTTTAATACATGACACACTGTATCAACAAGGTGAACCCATATCCAAATATTTGTAAAGATACAATGAAAAGTAGTGTGTGAGGTCTAGCCCTGATATATTTTTTTCTTTGATGTAGGTCAAATGTCAAAATGTAGGTCAGAGTGTAGGCGATAGATCAAGTGGCTACGCAAGATAGAAGAAGGACAGATGGAAACAAAACTATAGCGTCCACCAGGTTCCTAGTGAGATATTGACAAGTCTTCATTTTGACACCATTACCTCTGACTAGTATTTCAGTTGAAGAAATTCTCAATCCACCTCTAACATAGGTGAAAAGTCATCATACCACCATATACAATATTAGTAATCAAACTAACCCGTTCCTTCTGAGTCCTCTCCTTCAGTTAGTTCATAAAGAGTACACACTGTGTTGTTCATACTGCGACTACAGATCTACCAACAAAAATTCAACAAAATCTATTCAGATATTTTTATAACATAACACAACAGTTTCCCCAGAGATGTATATAACACAGTGATAACAGACTCCATCTTGAGCTTACCATTGGTAATACATGACCTGATGTCTAATAGTAAATGATTGTACAATGTTGTGTGTACCCATATATATAACATAATATATCTACAGGATTTCCACACATGGCCACCTGCAGCATATTGAATATGCAATACTGGACAGGGTTTTCCATAAGAGCCGGTTGCCGGCCAATTTGACCGGCTACTTTGATCATTTGGCTGCCTTCACCAATCCAGTTCCGTAATAATGTTCCGTACACGACTACACGTACATGGCAGGCCAGCCTCCTACTTTCACTACACAGCCCATTACTAGCAAAATTATGGAAAACCCTGCTGGATATATGCTACACTTCAAGCTGTTGTGTAAGCGACTTTGAAGACAAAGTATCTTAGGACGTAAATGTTTATTGTAATATGTACATTATAATGTAACATCAATTCTGTTACATCTTGGTGATACTGATGAGTTATAATTCATCATTTGTACAGATTAATTCACTGCAAATACATAAAATTTCTACATGTCAAATGTTGTTTTTATGTGTAGTCAGTATCAGTTAACTTTATAGGATACATGAAAATCCTCCTTAATCCATTTTCCGATTTGAATTTAGTTTTCATGAATAAGTTCTATTATAGTATTTTTATCATCTGTCTTGACAATGTTGTGATACATCTTCAATGATATTGAGTAATTAAAAAAAAAAAGAAAAATCTTTGGTGGACGGTAAGTGAAATTAACTTTCCTATTTCGTTCCTTGCTCAATTTCAAATTGGTTTTCAGATTTCAATTATATGATAATCATTTGACTGCAGAATAATAACATGTCCCTGAAAGAGTGTAACAACCAAGCTGTAAAAAAAATCAGTATTTTCAAAGCAAAGTTGTATTCAACATGGCCATTCTGGTTGTGATCTGTGTTGCTGTTCTAGGCTTCCAATATCCTAATTTTAAAAGCAAGATAATATTTTGACCCTAGATTACCAATATCAAGGTAACATGTCGGCCATGAAGTTTGATTTCATAATAAAGTTTTGATTTTCAAGTTCTGATATTGTAACATATTGATCACTTGCCTCAAATCTCAAAATTGTTGTGATATGTCCATGACACAATTAAGTAATCAAAGTTACAGAGAGTCTGTTTTTTTCACACCTCTACATGCCACCAAATCTCATACTCCTTACATTTCCTTCAAGAAGAAAACACAGTCATGTGTGATCCTATAAATATTGTAGGGGTTACCAATTTCTGTGTTATATACGTCTCTGGTTTTCAACAGTTCTAAATTTGCCTTGAAATAGTAAAAATACATACACTTTTTTTACACTTCACATATTTCAACTTTAACTTCAACCTTCCACTCACCTTACATTTTTGCCCCACTTGACAGTAAGGTGAAATGGGAGATATTTCCCTTCATACAACAATTCTTTAAATCTTTGTTTTTTTTGTATCCATACCAAATTCCCTCTTTATAAATCTTGTTGTTTAGGTTTTATTTTCCATGATTAATAACAATATTCTGCATGTATTCAATAAAAACAACTAATATTATACAAATCATTAGATATTGTTCCTTATTGATACCTTACCCAGCTGTAAATAAGTTTTCCCCATTCCTCTGGTGTCCTCCACATCACGAGACACTGCTTTTTCGTTTTATTATCAGTCCACTCCAAGTGTCCTGAAACATAGATGTTGTTACCACTGTCCTGAAATCAAATCTGATTCTCTGCAAAACTGGTGGAGACATTTCATCTATATCTTTATACACAATATATCATGTACCAAGTTATTTTTGAGTAGTACTGAGGTTTCACAAATCCTTGACAGATATTGATATAATGAATCCGTTTATCACATAGACAACTTGGTAATGTGTTTGTCTCAGGTACACACGAGTTGATCCTAATACCAAATTAACAGTTTAAAAGACTGCCCTGATTAAAATAGTAAAACAGCCAACAACATATTGAAACCAGCACAGAATTAACAAACAAACATACCAGTTTTCCTTAGTTCCTCCAGAACAGTTTGAATGCCATCCATAGACAGTTTTCCTGTCTTCAGTTAAGATATATTTCAGTATTTTTACATCAAAGTATAATTTTTGATTACATATCTTATATATTGGTTATCCAAGCTCAAGTAAAGAAGTACCCTACTAAACTACTCTCCAACCTTTGAACTGACACTGGCTCTAATTTACAGTCGTTATCTATCTCATGACAAGTGTACTTAGTTTGATGATAAGCATTAAGCAATTGGTTATTATTTGTCATCATTAAAATATATCTGGTGTGGATGGATCTTTTATCTTTATCATTATAGTAAAAGAAAGTTAAAGTCAAAGGACAGAATTCTTTAGAAGCGTGTATAAACATATTGTTGATGTTTAATGATCTGACAAAACCACTGAAAATCTAAACAAGTCCTGTATCTGTTCCTTCTGGTTGGAAATAGATGTAGATTACTTAAATAGAATTATAAAATAATATATATCTATAGGAGTATAAAAAATCTTCATAAATTTTAACAGAACTGCATTCATTTACCAGTCTATTATTGAGTTTTTCTTGATCAGAAAAGAGAAGAGTATCTATAGCATCCTTTTTTTTCCATGTAATTTTGACTGTAAGCAGGATTTTTCACCTTTGTAGACTACAGAGTATCAGTCTTCTACATCAAGTTTGACTATTAAGGATACGGTTGATGGCCTTATTATGAAACAGTGGAGAGTTCTGAGACTCTGTGACATCAATACTGTAGGTTTTCTGTTGCCGTGTGTAGGACAAGACCAGAGAACACCAAGCTTCAATCTGTTTCTTTCGAGTCTCTATGTTAGGCTGGATCCTGTGATTAAATAAAAAGTTTGGGGGTCTAAGTACAAAGTCATAGCAGAGAAGTAATTACAACAGTATTACTTGTGCAGACAATCAATTTTTTAGGCAATACGTACATGTACAATTTTCAACAAAGGTTCTGAATTCCTTGAAAAGTTTTGATAAAATTATTTCTTTAGTCCCCTTACTATAGTGTCTCTGCTTATAGGTCAAAATAATATGCATCCAACATTCAACATCAGTGGTATCATTTTGCAGCTGAAATCATTGATCATACATGCATCTGTAGATTGTCTTGATGGAAAGAAAATTTTATTTATGGCATCATCAGCATCAGGAATCATGCAATCGGTTGAAAAATGTTGACAAGGTTTGTAATTGCAATTGGGACAGTATTTTCCAGTGGTCTTTCTTTTTGTCGTTGTTATTTTTGTGACTACAATGATTTTAGCTCTTAAACGACAACAAATCTTCTTTTTGAGTGAGTATATTTCTTTAAATGATTTTGATTATTTTTTAATGAAACTTTATGTATTTTTTTTTAGAATAGAATAAAATCATGGTTACAGATACAAAGATAATAAATAAATTTGATAAACAAAAGTGCTGTCTGTTTTATTATTTTCTCTAAACAAGAGCTATTTTGCCTCATCCTATATCATACAGGCGAGGACCAATCACATATCTTTCATACAGTAAAAAAAATTGATGACAAAGTCAGTGAAATAAATCTTTTGGCAGATTTGTTCACTTTCAGGCAATTTTTGAGGAATTTCATTGTTGCATATTTTCAGTATCTACCTACACTCTCTTTAGTAACAACCTGTATGAGTCCATCATTCACTCATTGAGTTGTTTGCAGAGAAGCATCCCTTTGATGCAGATTAGGGCCATATATGTGCTTTCAGCATGATGTTTCTGTGCAAAAAAATCATAACCTGCAACAGTTGTGAATTGTGTGGTGAACTTCATTGATATATGGTGTGATTTAATCATGTATTAAAGAAATTTCATGTTTTACTTTTATTATGATGTATTACGATGCATGATGGATGCAGGCTTGCTAGGCTCTTTGTCCATTTCAATATTTAACAATTCATGAAAAAATTGTGTTAATATTACATCTGGTGTTATTGGGACATGCAGATTAATGGATGTAAGTATCAAAAATTGCAATGACGAAATTCAACCAATTTACCGTAAATGGTATCTTATGACAAGCAACATTTGTTTTATCAACTCACTAGATTCATCATCCATTTTTTCAATATGCACACCATGATCGCGACCTGGTATGACTCAGTTGTTTATATTTGCCCTATATGCCTATAGTTAGATTTTACTACACAACAAAATCTGCCTATATCGCCTGTGCTCCAGTAAAATTCTGGTATTAACATAGTACAACTTCTAATTACATAACATAACCTAAATCCAACATCCCCACTCTGAGTATTGAATCCAACTATCCATCTTGAATAACTAACATACCACTTTCTACTCCAACATAACATCTCCTTATCAACGTCAATAATCCCTTTTAAAAACAAGCACATTAGCATAAATAGACACAAGTCGATAAGGTTAAACAATGTATGTTGAAGGGACAGAATGGAATTACAGAATGCCATGGACATTTTGGAAAGCAGAGAAGTTTACGTACAGTGTGGTCGAAAGGTTAAGCAGATGGGATGTAAAGTAGTAATTTTCACACCAGTACCAACTAACAACTAATCATAGTCCGGCGGATGGGACTTTAAATGGTGGCCTGTGCGAGAATTGTCCAACCTTGCACAAAATGATCCTCCTACTGTTATCGATATTGAGTAAGCACTTAACGCCGCCCAGGTGCCAGAATTAAACGTAACAACATTCAACCTTAGGTCATTTTTATTCTATTAGAAGAGGACTTCTAAATTTCCCAATATCAAAAATTAATATAATCATAATATGACAGCCTGGAGATTCGGCAGGAAAAGAAGACGAGGATCCCCTCCACCGCCGGAAGTCAAGACGCATCAAAACAAGATTACCTTTAGACCAGAGAGTCGTCTCCAAACTACAGACCATTCAACCCCCAGACGACCCTTACCCATGAGGGGAGCACCCCTCTCATGTCGCCAGAGAATCGACACACGTCGATTGGACAATGCCCGGCAACGGGCAGAGTCAAGGAGACGAGAAACCATCATCATCAACACCATCGCCATCATCATGTGCTCCAATACCTGCCAGTACCGGAGAGTCTGTGATAAAGCTGTGTTAATGATATTACATTGTTTTAACACACTTCATCGGTCTTTACTTTTGAAAGATCGAGTACTGCCGCAGTCAGAATCGATAACATTCGATGTGCAGATGTCAGCTTGATCTTACAGTCTGTCAAAAGGTTATCATGCGATATATACTGAATCATTCTGTATTTCACCAGCATATGCGTAGCTTTGTGATTCAGGAGATTAACTTTGTATCAACGTAAATACATGAGTTGGATTCAACAAGAGAAAACAAACTTACGTAAAGAATGGAGGAAATTGGTACTGCCATGGCCATTGAATGTCCGCCATAGTAGCAAATTGTCGCTTACAACATTATCAAATAGATACTTATAATTTAGTTCAAAAGGTAATTTCAGTAATATGAACCAAATATATCAATAGTTTGTTTTCTTTATTCACCTATTCCTTGATATGATCTTTTTGGGTAACTCTTATATTTTCTAACTGCTTAAGCGTTATCACCGGGTTGTAAACTTCCGGTATGACAGATAATCTGTTTTAGAAGAAAGCGAAGTCGAAGTAAGTATTTTCCTTCATTTTGCCGTTTATATTTTTGTGTTTAATGGAAGTTGAATAATACATTTTATACTGGCCATATTTCTGTTTCGATACGGTTACCCACTTGGATGTGCTTTTAATTTCTTAAAACGTACGTGACCCAAAACTGACAGCTCCAGTCTCGAAAGTTAAAATTACGGCATCTGATCTGAATGGACCTGATTTCATACTCGCTATGTATTCTCTGTGCTGTAGTCGACTGTGCTGTGGAAAACACCAAAATAACCCACATATGCAATTTGCTGTTCTGTTTTATTACAATTATCACACGAGCCTTCTCAAATTAGAAAACGTGCAACACCGAGCTGCCAGATACGTGTGTAACAATTACCACAATATAAGCACCGTCACTTTCATGATTGATTATCTAAACTGGTCACCACTTCACACCCGCAGATTGCAAAACAGACTTATCATGATATACAAAAAAAAGTACATGGCCTTGTTGCACTTCATCCGGAAAATCTCCTTCCTGTCACAATCCATACACATTCAGACACATACAAACCTCTACAGACTACTATAAACACTTCTTCTACCTAAAATCTATCAGACAATGTAACTCACTCCCTCATTCTGTTGTTTCTGCTGACATTGTTGAAACCTTTAAATCACTTTTCTCAGTGTCCTACCTATCTAAAACTCCTGTGCGTCTTACCGGTATCCTAAAAAAAAACTAAAAAAAAAAAACAAGTATTTTATCTTCTTGTCCAATGCCATGGAAAGAAGATGAAATTATTGTGCACCTATAGTACATGTATTAGCCTAATACACTACCAGCCATTAAAAAATGCCTAGAAACTATCCACAATTCCAAATTATTACACGAGATTGACTAAAAAGTAAACTAAGGAACAAATCCGATGCTCTTAATCCAGGCCAATCACATTCCATTCAATTACTATACATATAAATGTTTAAGCAAAATCTGGAAACCAAATTGAGAGATTACAAAAACAATAAGGAAATTGCAAACTACTGGTGGGAAATTTGAATTCATAACCAATTACTGTCAGATCAGATAGGATTAATTGGATGACTCGTTGTTAAATATTCACAGAAAGTGAATGCTTTCTCCATTGTTATAATATTTTGTTGCTTTGTAATTTTTGACCATAAACACCTCATAAACCTAGAAATTGCATAAGAATGAATATTATCAGCAATTGGCATCATAATAATGCATAACATGAATTTGGTTTTGCTAAAAAGCGAGAAAATATTATGGTTCCAATGATTGATTTAGCTGGATTAGTTGAGCATCAGACTAGTTAGCCAGGGGTCCTGGGTTCGATTCCTAGCAAAGGCATTGAAATAAATGATGACCTCAGTTACATTGGTGCCCATGTAGGGACCCAAGAATAGTACTTAGCCATGCCCCACCAGCATCGCTGTAACCCCTGGAAACTCGAGGATGAGTTATTTCCTGGAGGGGGAGTATGTAACCCTGGTAAAATGTTGATTAAAGAATGCTGAGGCCTGTAGGAAAAGCAGACTAATCTTCAATTGAAAATCTCATATCAATACATTGTGTATATATTGAAATAATTATGCATAATCACAAGAGTATGAATAATCATAAGGTCATCCAGCATGATTATGTATATACAAATTTCGTTATGAAGGTGACTTGGTAGATTTGTTTTTCAGGAGTCATGATTACACTGTCCAAGAAGTTAAAACAACAGACGCCAGCCAAAAAGGAAACTGAACATGAAATCAAACGGATATCAATCCGGGACAAGCTTCTGGTGAAGGGTAAGATCATGTTTAACAGTGATTGAATTTCTGAACTGTTGGAGATCAACTTATCATCATTTAGTGCTAATATTCTGTTGCAAAATCTCATTCAAATCAAAGTCAAGAATGAGGTGCAACAGATTGTCAATCCATGCGTACTAAGATATGTTAATTTTGAACACATTCAAAAAACTATTATTTTTCTGCTACGTTACCATGTCAAAATTGAATGAAAATCTTTAGTATGCATAATTTCTATTTACCTGGGTACAAATTCTAGATTTCAATTAAGTTATCTCCTTTGTGAATTTACAAGTATGTCTAAGGCTTAGATAGGCAGAGAGTTGCAGTTGGATATCATAACATCAACAGAATTCTGCTTGACTGACTGGATGAAATATCTTGCACTTATTGTTTGAAGTTTCCTTGTCTGGTGTACATGTAAACCAAAGATTCATTCTCTGAAGCAATGTTTTCATTATCAATCATGTGTCAAACACAATGACTTACTGGTGGCCATCTTGGATTTGACAATGAAAGTTTGTTATCGCTATTTCTTGAGGACTGAATGGATCTGTCTCACATTTTATATGTAGGTTTCCTTTGGTCTCTTTTGATATTTTGACCGTCAGAAAAATATGATACTGAAAGGTATTTTTTTTTGAATAGTTGAAAGATTATTAGTCCCCTACTGATGGAACTGGCGGGGTGAGGGGCTATAGTATTTGACTCTCCATCTGTTCCTGTTTCTTTTAAAGATTTTCAGTACTCTAGTGGCTTCATTCCTTGAAGGAAAAAATTACACTCTTAATAAGCATCAAAATATCTTGGACAACTTTGAGTTTCAGGGTTTTTGGGTCAAAGTCAAGGTCACTGTTCTTTTCTTTGAAAAAACATTATCTGCGATTTAGCACTTCATTCCTAGCAGGATTCTCATCAACCTTCATGCACTTTTAAAGCATCAAATAATCTGAGACAAGTTCGAGTTCAGGGTTGTTGGGTCAACATACAAGCTCAAAACAGTTAATTACTATTTTTTAGAAAATTTATAAATCGCTTCAGCGTAATAGCCTGCAGCCAACATATATATTGCTTCAGCAGTTCTCAGTGTGTTTGTTATTGGTGTTATTGCTTGAGAGGGATTCTCAAATTTCCTATAACTAATTATGAGCCAACAATTATAAGAGGAAAGTAGAGAAAAGGGAAAAGATCCATTCTTAAAGGTCATGAAGATCAAACAATTATTGGTACCATGATCCCTTCAGGAAGTTAAAACTATAATCAATAGCTGGAGGGTAAAAATTTCAATCAACTAATGACAGAATGAAAATTTTATAATAAAATGTTGTTAAGAGACTAAATATTCGGTCAAGCATACAGGATGTTGACATTTTTGTCAATTAGGATCACACCAAAAAATAAGGGAAATCAGACTTCTGTAATTACCCAAGGTTTACTTATGACACGTTATAGATCTTCAAAACATTGAAGTGTTTGATACCATATTGGTAGCTTTGATCAATAGTATTAACACTACTTTGTCAATTAGATTTATCAATAATCCTTGTAATTTCACAAAATAATTTCAAAACTTTTTCCCTTTTTTTTTTTAATTCTACTGTCACATCATACATGATTCTAAAAGAGTTGATACAAAGTGTTGATCATTTTGACCTTAACAGGTGAAATATTCTTTGAATTTTTTAATAGCATGTAGTGCAATTTAGTTTGCATATTATTGATAAATATTTTTACCAAGATATTGATTCTGAAATAAATCAAATGGAAAAAAACCATCTGTGGCTCAAAGGTGGAGAATGGGCTTATTACAGAGAACAACCGAATGATACATGTATATTTTTTGTTAGCATTTCTGCAGAACTGAAATAAATATGGATGGGCTAATTACCCCCATGGAGCCCATGACTCAATAAAATATGTTATGACAAATATGGATCCTTAACTGATATCGTGTACTGCATATTCATCCCACAGAGGTCCAGGAAATGGAGGAGAACCTACCAAAGACTTGTAAAGTAAACTTCGGTAATCCCAACCAGCTTCATATCTTCTCTCTTACCATCACACCTGATGAGGGATTTTGGCATGGCGGAAAGTTCCTATTTAATGTTGATATTCCGGAGGATTATAATATTGTGGTAATACAATTATGCTTTGATAAAATGATCAGCTTTTAATTTCAAACAAGGTTTTTTTATTGTTTGATTGTTCTTTTACTCCAACAACATAAGAGGATTTACGCAGAGAACATGTATGACAGGTGCTTTCTCAAAGTCTACACAATACTGTCAAATAAAATATTTCTAATCAGTGGCTCCTGTGTTACAGGAGTAGGTTCTCTTGAACCCAATTTTATTTTCAATTTGAAAAAAATATACGAAAAACTTTATGTTAAACTTTCTCATTTCATTTAATTAAACATTACTGTGTTCTTAAATGTGGTTTTATGTTTAAGCCACCACAGGTTGTATGTAATACACGAATATGGCACCCAAACATCAATGAGGATGGTGAAGTTTGTCTAAGTTTACTTCGACAGAGCTCCTACGATAGTTTAGGTAAGTGATGATATTAAAGTTCTATGTAAAACCAGATTTAATTATAGAAATGAAAATGACCACATTTAATTTCAAAATATGCAGAAGTACAGTACCCATTTAATCTATAAATAAATCCTTTGATGAACCTAATGTGTCAAGAAAAACCCTGAACATATCAGTTCATAGATATATATATATTATATATTGACAGGAAGTTATAATTACTGTGGATTTGATAGATATGTACATATTCTGTGATGAAGAGACACTTCATATCTGTGAATAACAACTGAATTTTAGAGAATTCTGGATTTATCCCACACAGACAATTACAATGGTACCTGCTACAGTCATTTGGGAAATCTCCAGATATACAGGCACCGATACAGCACTTTGTGAAATTTTCAAAAAAATATTTGAGATTTTAATTTGCATTAACTGTGTCTATTAGTTCTATAATTTACTTTTATTAATTTTATTCTTTAGGCTGCTACCAATAGTAAACAAAAATGAGACACCATTTCAGAGATACATCAATATCATATAATTATTTCACAAACCACTTCTTTGACCATTGTATTAGAGCTGTCTAGATAATTAGACAAGATCACGTACAGTGTGATGGAGGTCAAGATTTTGTGTCTTCTTCCAGGCCAGCTCTTTATTGAAAAGTTCTGTCATCTGAAAGCTTTAGCCCACAGTCTCTCCTCTTTCAGGAGTTTGAAAACCTGAAGTATTGATGAGTAACATGAATACCAATGAAATACTATCAGGTTCCAGCAACATCATTCAGACAAGACTACAAGAATCATAACACCAGTGTCATGTAGGCTTATCCCTAATCAGATTACAAAGCATCTATAAACACTTCACAGTAAATAAAAACTTTTGATTAACAACCATCTACCAGGTACTTTTTTTCCTCGCAGGTTGGGCGCCCACAAGAAGACTTAAAGATGTGATATGGGGTCTCAACTCCTTATTTTCTGTATGTATAACACTGTTGTGTTCACTAACCAGTCAGAAAATTCAATTTACGTACATAACTTCAATTTCAATCTTGTAACATAACGTTACAAGTTTTTTCAGTTGATCAAGTGAGGTTCTTGTACTTGAAAGCAGGATAATTAAGATATTAACCTTTGCTTATTTCAAATAATTTGGTACTAATAACTGGTTTTGATAGTAATTAAAAATAATTGACAGTAGACAGTAAAACTTTTGATAAGTTTTTGATTATTAGAAAAAAAAACTAAATCTTGCACTAACTTTTTACGTTTTCATTTTGAAATAACAGGAATTTATTATACTCTTTACTTTATTTGTTTGTAAAATTAATGTAATTTGAAGTTAAGGAGGACATACTGTAATCAGCTTGTCCGTCTAGGCGCCCGTCCATCCGTCCGTAGACAAATATTTGTCTGGACACCTACTCCTAAACTAATGAATCAATTTCAATTAAACTGCACAGGAATATTAGGGGATCATGTGTAGATGTGTTTGCAGGCTTTTTGTCCAGCAGAATATTAGTTGCCATGGAAACCAGTCAATATAAATAGGATTCTGTTTGAGAATTTTTGTCTGGACAAGTTCTCCTAAACTTATGTACCGGTATCAATTTCATTTTGATGACACAATGTGTAAATGTATATGCATCCCTTTTTAATACAAAAAATGTGTGGTTGCCTTGGTAACAGGTCATTATAAATTTTTTCACTGTCAAGACAGCTCCACCTAAACTAGTTGGTCAATTTCAATGAAATTACATTAGTAAAGATAGTGACCTTGTAGGGATGTGGATGCAGCATTTTTTCAAAAAAAAAAAAAAAAAAATTGTTGCCATAGCAACTGTACCATGGTAACATTTATTGTAAATTTGTAAATCTATTCAAATCACAGTGCCAGTGCTATAAAACTGTATTTAATGGTCTATATACTAAATGTTTGTTTGTTTTCCCCTAGGATTTACTCAATTTTGATGACCCACTCAATGTAGATGCTGCAGATCATTATTCTCGCAACAAAGTAAGTTTATCTTTTATTATAATGACAAAGTCATGCAAGGTTTTGCTCGCTTGTATACATCTTTCTGTTGTAACAAATTTTTATGACAACACTAAATAACAATTTTTGAAAAAGTTAAGGTGTAATATATTAATTGCTTGATGTCAACTTGCTTATTTCATTCTTTTCCAAAAAGGCAAAAATATGAGTTGTAATGATTTATAATAAGAAAAGTGGCAATTAGATTGATAAAATTGATAATTTGAATGCCTTGCAAGGTTCAGTTATTTGTTAATCTAACCATTAAATTTGAAAGACAGGTTTTTTCCCTTAAGTAAATATTTTGGGCCAAGGAATAAAAATGATGTGCTGACAAAGTTTTTCTTTCTTGCAGGAATCTTTTAAGAGCAAAGTGAGAGACTATATACAAATGTATGCTGCTAGGTAACGGTGTATGTTAGAATATTACAATATGATTGGATGTCCATTATGTAGCCATGGCAACCTGCAAGTCCCTGCATATTATGAAGCTATTTGTTGGCTTGTGTGTTACCATGAAAGCCTGCACCTCTTCATTTGTCAAAGAGACAATTATTGGTTGGCTAACATGTTGACATGTTAACGTAGTAATCTGCGAACTTCCGTAATAACCATAGAGAGTAGAGTTTTACTCTGGGCTGGATGGGACATTACCATGATAACCTGCATTATTGAAACTAGCTGATGTGTTTCAACGACATCTGGAAGGCTTCATGTGTCCAGTGAAACTAGATCATGTGTGGAAAATGCATGCTCACAATTACCACTTACTTGACATATAAGTAACAATTGAGCCCAGCTAACAGTAATGTCAACCAGTGAAGATTTTTAGATAATAATTTATTCAAAACTAAACATAGTTACGCTGAATAACGCTAGACAAATGGTTTTCCACAGACATGTTAGCCCATACATGAATTTTAAATTATCAGACTTTTTCCCCAAAGATTTGTGTATTTGAACAATTGTAATGACTTGTTGAATAATTAATAAGCAGAGTTGAAAATTTGAAATATTTTAACTTATATGTAGAATGGTTTTCAGGTTGGACAAGAGAATATGTGGATACATTATTTTGGTATGTTACTGGTAATTGTTGAATAAACATTTACTCCTTAATCATAGAAGGAGTGGCATTATCATATTTTATACCTCAAAGTATTTTTGGTCACATTAAAATCTATACCTACTTTTTATCTATATATCTAGAGATTACTAAGGTGTTCCTTTACCTACTCCTTCCAAAGAGACATGTGAGATTTTCACAATCAAAAGAAGTCTATCATCAATTTGTTTACTGTCAGATCATCAGTGGAGCAAAGTGCTTGTGACTGGACCTTCAAAACAAGTGATTGAATCTTCAAAGGCAAAATACACAACACATGCATACCTGTACTCAAAGATCAGTCTATGAATAAGCACTACAACAGGTATTCTCTGAATTTGAAGAGAATTCATTGTCAATTGACAGGGTAATGTCTGGTAAAGAAAGGTTTGAATGTATAAACAACAACTTTTAAGAAAGGGTTTTTAAATTTTAATCTTATTAAGAGTTTGTATATCAAGTTTAGTTTTATGAAAGAAAAACAATTTTGATGCAGAGTAATATCACTAGTTTGAATCGAGACAATCTGCTTTGTGTATCAAATTTACAGTTAAAGATGGAAACCTTGGAATTTGATTGGCTAATTTCTTAGTTTCTTCAAATTTCATGGTGACCTGTGTCCACTATTGTGCATCCGTAATTTTTTTTTAAATTTTCAACTTCTTCTCTAAACCACTGAACTGATTTCAATTAAATTTTGCAGTAACCTTCCCTAGCCTAAGATGAACCAAAATAGTGAATTATAGGGTCCCTACCCAACAGGACCTTAGGGGCAGTGTCAAAAGGGTCAAATTGATAAAAATTTCATAAATCCCTTTCTCAAAGATGAAAGAGTTTTAAGGTGCTTTTCCAGTAAGGGCATTCATTTCATAATGATTTATATGAGAAAAATACATTTTTGAGCATAATTGGAAATATTTCAAACTTGTTTTGTATTATAAGCAAAGGATGAATGCTTGATGGTATGCCCATATTGATTCTGGCTGATCCCCAGGGGCTGATGTGTGAAACCAAAAGGGGTCAAAGTGACTAAGATTTCAAATGTCTTCTTCTCGAAACCCAGATATGGTATTATCAAATGCTCTTCATGGATGAAAGCGTCTTAAGATGCTTTCCGAAAAAGGTCTTACATTTCTCCCAGGGGAGCAGGCTAACTTTACTATGATTTTTCTAGAAAAATAGTGTTTTTGAGCATAATGTTTATTTCCCAATTGAAATAATTTTTTGTAAGATTTATTGGTAAAGGGTGACAGTTTTGATGGTATGCATGTATTGACACTGGCATACTATCATCAATGTCACAATTTCTTTTTCATAACACTTGAAACCTATTTGTCCTTTAATCTTTATATTCAATATTGCATATCTCAGGTGCCTGTCAAGGTCTCTTGTGTATTTTATTTACCAATACCCCATTTCATGGCAGTCACACAATGTTTTGTCATGTCAGGCATTAGACAGGCATCTGCACTGAACCAGTCTAAAATTTGTAAAAATGTTGATTTTTGTAAATTTTGGTACATGTATTTATTTGCCAATATGTCATGATCTTAGTAAAAGTTTCTCATGTACTCTGGGAAATGAATGTTCCGATGTTTGTAGTAGATGCCTACCCTTTCATTTTCTCCCCAAGTTTAGCTCATGTAAACATCATGTTTCAGATTTATTGGTTGGTTTATGTGATAATCTAGTTTTCACAGTTTGCTTTATCTAAAAATCCAACCTCATTGATTATACTGAATTAATTATAAAACTGCTGACCAGTTAAAACAACTGCCATTTATTGATTCTTCGGTTTGATTCTAACATTCTTTTGGCTGGTTTTGATTTTCCTTGGTTGCCCCTTATGTTTTCGTTTTGAAATTTAGGTCCTTTGAATCACTGTCAAGTCCTAGAGGAACGTAGCAACTGCAGTTTAATTCATCATTTGGCAATACTGTATCTGATATTAAATTTTTATCAAAAGAAAGGAGCCAACGTCGGGTCTGGATACGTGGTTGTTTAGTGGGGTACTTCGCTGTGAGTATTGATACCAGATGGTATGCAGGGCGATTATACAAAAACTAAATAGTATGTGCAAAACAGATATTAATCACAACATACTCACCTGTTACCATTAAGAGGGTGTTTTCTTTATTATGTCTACTAGTTTTGCCTCTGAAGTTGAGGCTTCATCAGGACCTTGTGAAGCCTCAACTTCAGAGGCGAAACTAGTAGACATTATAAAGGAAACACCTTCTTATTGGTAATACGTGAGTATGTTGTGATTAATATCCGTTTTGCACATAATATTAAATTTTTATCAAAAGGTACTGATCCCCTGTGTATCATTTACACAGTCTTTGGTGGTTGGATACACATGTACAGATATACAGTATAATCAGATTCAGTTATTACTTAGAACAAAATTCCTGAACTTTTCTAAGGTGAGGTGCAAAATGTTTGATGATTTATGTACAGGCTGTTTAAGTCGTTTTATTTCACAGTCTAACCTCAGTACCTCCAAACTCAACTGAAAATCAATACTTACTGGTCCTTAGACTATTATCCCATCCACCATGGCTACACCAGATTCATATGTAAATGAAGTTTAAACTAAACAGACAAGAAAAATCTCCAGCGGGAAAAATTTCCAAAGAACCAAACATCTTGTTAATTTCATAAGTATTTGGAGTTTCATCTTCTAGGCTTCAGGAGGATACCTAGTGGTGTACAGAGGTCTCTTAAAATAGCTAAAGTATAAAAGAAAAGCACTGACTCCTGAAGCCAGGTATGCCAGTACTGTAGTTATAGATTAGCTGCTACATTTTTGTAAAATTTGATATGAATTTGAATTTTTGTAAAGTTATCTCAATTCACATCGATAATATAAATGTACATACAATGTATATTGTTAAAATAAGTCAGATTAAGACAGGATTTGTCAATAATTAAAGGTTAGGATAGAAAAAAACAGGTTACAGACTTTGAAACTTGAGGCCAGATTAGGATTTTGAAATAGGATTATAACTCAATATTTTTTGTCCCACTTTATCTCACACCAAGCTTTCTAAGTGAGTTTAGAATCTTATTTAGTTCTGTGAATGAAGTTTTACTTACTTGACCCTGTATATACTTTCATGTACATGTAAAACATGAAAAAACAGGGACTATTGATACTTGCATCACTTCTGTAAAATGAGCATTTCTGAGGTCAGAATATCAATACATCATCAGCAAACACCCTGTTAATTCCTTAGACCATCTTAATGATAAATAATTTCAATGGCTTATAATGTTGGGACAGGTGCTCCTAGCTATCTTCGTCAGATGACAAGTGGTATCAAGCAAAATCAGGATGTGCTTCACTAAAAGTTGAAAGGTCATATATATATAGACTTCAGTCAAGTTATGATTTTACTAATATGTGTTTACATTAACTTTAAGCAAGTTTCGCAGGTTATTGGTTTCAAGTACCACTGCCCTAATTATTTTGAAATCTGATAATATTATTTAATTGAATAATCAAAACCAATAATCCTGTTTCACAATGTTTAGTTTATTTGAAACTTGAGTTTTACTTTACTGGTAGTGACTAGAAGTTCTTACATAAAAAATATTGTCAAGTAACTGGCTAACTAATTTTAAACTAGCTGATTATGGTAATAAGCTTTTGAAAAGAAACAGACAAGATTCCTACCATCACAGCATATCTCTACTTAACCCTAAGCTGTATATAACTTTGCAATGAAATCGGAATGCTTTACACATTAGTATTTGAAGTTTGAAATGCTAACGGTTATGTTTTGTGAAAATTTTATACCCATTGATACATTAGGTGATGAACTTACAAAATTGTTATCGATCAGTATTCAATAAAGAGAAGTATGTACCTTTAATAAACATGTTGTTTAATCATCATGTGTCAGCTCTTCTTTCATAGCCCATTACGCTCAGACAAATAATGTTTCGACTGTAAACTGCCAAAGGGTTATAATGTTGGGTCATTGTTTTGTTGAAGTGAAAATTGTGCCTTCATTATCGTTGTTTACATACAGTGGTTAAGGTTTTTGAATGTCTTTAATTATCACTAGCCCTCCACCTCTGGGTCTTGGGTTCGAATCCTATGTGGGGCAGTGACAAGGTATTAGCCACAGGTTGGTTGTTTTTCTATAGGAACTATGGATTTCCTCCACAACCCAGACATGGTACATCCTGGCTATTGATAGGACGTAAAGCAGCAATAAATTCAACTACATACTATTCTTATTGTAAAATGACTCTGGTGATTCCTGATTTCTTATATATCTGATACAATATGCAATTGGCTGCTCCAGATTCCAAATGCATTCAAATTCACTTGATACATGATTATTTCTTTTCTACATTCTTCACTATTGGTTCTTTCAGTAAGGGTGAAAATTTTCAGAACACTTTTACAAATTGTGTGTTTTTTTTTTTTTTGGTTTGGTTATAGCATATGACATCAAATGAAATCCCAATGGAAAGAGAACCCCTGTGGTCATGTCACATATTTTCATATTTTCCATATGAATAAAGCTTGATTTTTGAGACAAGCCAATAAACAAGTACAGAAACTAGCACGCATTGTTTGTGAATGAGTAGTGATATATGTACTCTGATAAAGGCAGGTAGCTACGATCTTTCATTTTCACTTCTGTATTATTTTGTATTATTTCATATTTGACATTACTGGAACAAATAACAATCAAGGTAATTTTTTTATTCCACCAGCCCGTCTGTTTACGTCATTGGTCCGTATGTTATCCTTATAATTGGGATAACTGCAGATTTCATATTTAGGTTTCCCTTGGTCCCCTCTGATTTTGAGACAGATCAGAAACATTAAATGACCTACAGGTGACCACCTTAGACCGTAAGATTATATTTCTTGGCAGGAATTTTCACGTTTCAATGCATAAGCAGAGGGAAGAGGAGGAAAAAAGATCAAACACTTTCAAAGAATAAATAAAGATGAAAAAGGGTGGAATGGGGGAAACCAAGATCCTCCCTCAGGGATTTTGTTTTAAATCGGGGAAATTCTGTGAAAACAAAAAAAAATATACAACAAAATAAAAAAGGAACTTTATTTAGTACATGCTTACATTCATACAGTTGCACCAATCTTTCTTACTAGTCCATCAATATATAATTTCATTGATTCCATTAGCAAATCACAGAAAGCTCATCACTATCAGCACTACATAAATGTTAGTACTTCTTCACAGGGGCTGAAGTGGATAGTACAACAACTTACAGAAAGTTTGGCCATTAAATCCCTACATTTTCCCATTGGTACATATTGACAAAACTTTTAATTGCAGTTTCATTTTTACATTTCTTTGCAATACAAAAAATATTGACCAATACAAGAGCAAACGTGTCTTGAAAATAACATTACCTTCATAATGATCTTGAAGACATTATGAACTTTGAGTTACATAGTACATGTATATTTGTTCATGTAAATGCAAAACCATTACTTGTGGAAGAAAAATCCCACAGACTGTTCTTAATGATATGACCAAGATCTTGGTGTCCTGTTAGAGATTCAGGAATTTTTTTTTAAAAACCTCTGAAACCAGACACTTCCTTATCTATGGTTGAGTAAATCATCATGAGAAATTCCTATGATATTCTGTTGTTGATAAAGTGACAAGGTATCTTCTTCGTGTTGTCTTCTACCTGGAAAACAAGTATATTATACATTTTCAGAATGACTTTCAATATAAATTTTGTATCAAGTTTATATCAACAAAACTCTCATACCCTCCCATGTCTCTGCAGATATCTACAGATATTTCTTAGAAGCAAAAGTGAATCACAGAAAATGATGAATATTGATACACAATAGTTTAAACATTTCCAAAATTGATTAACTTTTCTTTAAATCTAATTTTTTCATAGCTGAACCCTGTAAAGCACACCTGCTGAAAGGGCAAATAAATAGTCTGATAGAGAAGTCAATAAAAGACCCTGAACACTGTTAATACCTCCAAGTCTCCACTCTCTAAGAATAGTATGTAGTTGGTCAGTACAGACCAATGCTGGTCACTACCATAAATACCTAAATAACTTAGCTCTCTAAGAATGATATGCTGTCGGTCAGTACAGACAGATGCTGGTCACTACCGTAAATACCTACATAACTTAGCTCTCTAAGAATGATATGTCGTCGGTCAGTACAGACAGATGCTGGTCACTACCGTAAATACCTATATAACTTAGCTCTCTCAGAAGGACATAGAGTTGGTCAGTACCGACAGATGCTGGTCACTTCCATAAAAACCTACCTGACTCTGCTCTATGAAGGACACAGAGCTGGTCAGTACAGACAGATGCTGGTCAATACCATAAATACCTATATAACTTAGCTCTCTCAGAAGGACACAGAGCTGGTCAGTACAGACAGATGCTGGTCAATACCGTGAATACCTACCTCAATCAACTCTCTAAAAAGGACACATAGTCCGTCAGAACAGACAGTTGCTGGTCACTCTTGAATTCTGGATCTGCTTGTACTCCTGCTACAACAATAACCACAGATGAAGTTTCCAGGTCTTTGGTTATCAAGGTTATTACAGACACTGGTATTCAGGTTTGTACACCGTACAGACATAATTGTAAAGGGACACAGACCTGCTGCAATCAAATCACAAAAGAACAATTTCTTTTACAGTTACAGAAAGTTGGGCCAATTTTATGAAGAAAAACCTTCAAATTTTCAAATTGATTCAAAGAAGTCTTCTTTCCTAGAAAATATAGCCTAGAAATCAAATTATATCAGTTCATTGTCTTGTAGTTTACATGAAATTTTCCACTACTGAATTTAACATGCTGAAACTTCAGTGGAGATATAACAGCATGTAAGATGATTTTATTTCAAAATTTTGATAATATAACATTCAGCAAGCTTTCATCAAAATTGGTAAAAAACAGTATATTTGCCCAGATAGGGAGAAAGAACTACAACAAGTACATGTAATTTCTCAGTTAAAGGGAAAATGTACAAACCTGGTTTCTTTGGTGTGATAAAGCGAGTTTGGGCATCAGCGTTCCATCCTTCAGCTCGTGCAGCTGTAATACAAAAAAGATTTGATGTGTACCTCTGTTACATAATATTTTGGGCTCGGATATTTGAGTCCTGGATTCTTGTGGGACTCGCTGACATTTTGAAAACCAAATTTACTGCTTAGTAGAAGGACTACTAAAATTGTTGTTTTGGACTCACCATAAAATACTTACAAAAATTACTGTGTCAACAATTGAAAAATTATACAAAGATCTGGAGTGACAAAAGCTGAAGTCCAATAGAAAAGGAAACAAAAAACTATACTATCACTGACCTAATTTAACACTAACAACAAAATGTTGAGGCTTGAGTTCTAGAGTGACCTTACATATGGCTAGACATCATCTAGTCTTAAAATTTCTGAATATATTGTCTGCAGGTAATACAGGGGTACATCTATAATGCTAATACTGAATTTACATAGAAATTTAGACCTTTGAACTTTGTTCCTGAAGAATAGCCCGTGACCTTGAACTTGGAAATCACATACAACATATCTACCCTCTGTTAATAAGTATCATTCAAATATACACTTTAATAATAGAGTAATGTCTTGAATAAAAAAAATACAAGGAACAATCTTAAACTTTTAACTGAATCATTGGCATTCACACTTGAAAGTGCAGACAACCATTCTTATTGGTGTCTATAATCTGCATATTAAAGTGTCTACAGTAAACAGTAAAGAATTGTACAAGGCAGCTGACATAACCATTACTGTTCTTTATCAATTAATTTCATTTGAAGTGAAGGCAAAGTGTACCTGACATCTAATGATTTTGTCCTTGTGCCTTTTATTATGTGAAGAGGGCCATAAAAATGAGAAATTTTAAGTGCATCACCAGAGAAATTTCTGATGGAAAACACCTCTGACATATTATGAAAAGGAATGTTACTAAATTGTAAACTGTATTAAGTTATATTTTACCTTGTACAGCATCTGCTGTAGACATGCCCAGAAATGTGGCCAACTCATCCCCATTGATTGAGGAGTAAGCTTGTGACACTAGGTGAAATGCTCTTCTCCGGTAGGCGTCTAATAACATATTCAAAGTAAAGCTTTGAAATTAATGGGGCTTTTTTTCCACATACTTGCCACATTGTTAATAACTGTTACACAAGTAATAAAACTTCTAAAATGAAAATGGATTAACTGACAAAATATTTGAACCTGGGATTACTTAGTCCTTGTTCGCAAAAATGAAATGCTCCTTTACTGACATTAAATTTTTAAATACCCTGAAATAAGTCAAAAGACAAAGATTTTTTAAAATCTGAACTGAGCCATTGTATTATTCTAGGGTGTACATGTATTTGTGGGATATATCAATGATAATTTTATAAATAATCAATCTAACAAAAATTAGGTGTAGTCAATAAAAATTCAGAGTTCAAAAGAGACATTTGGAGGGTATACCTTAATAAATATCAAGTAAGTCTAGCTCATCCAATATGAAAAATGCCTTGATTTCAAAATTAATATATAAACATATAAAGAGAAAATACAAAACTGACATTCATTAACTTGTTTATGAGATTTATAATGAGTTTATTTACATTTTTCTTATTCAAGTTTGCAAACTTAAACTAGAATGTTTTGCTTAAGAAGAATTAGTTTGATGGAAAGTTTTTTTTATCAATTAATTTCAATTTCTACTGGCTAGAGTTTTTAACCCTTGGATGTCAAACACAGAAAAAATGTTAGTTCATGTAGAGTCTTACCAAGGGCTGCCTCCATGATGGGCTTGACCTCTGGAGAGTATTCCTTTTTCAAAGCCTCGTAACTCCCTGTATAGTCTCTCTGCCACATTTTCTGACCTGCTGTCCAGATCATAGTCAGCTCAGGGGTTCCCTGAACAAGAAGAACAACGAACTGACTTCAAATCAAGGGAAAATGTGTATCTATAAAGGTTATGAAGATCCAAATTCAAGAGCCTTGAGAGTAAAGAAGGAGAGGTTGACTAGGTACTGCTAAATCATTAATTTTTGAGGATTTATTTTTGTTGAAATCGTGGTCACTCTAAATCCATGAAATTATATGTCCACAAAACAAACTGGTAAAAGCCAACAAGGATTATAGTAACATTGTGAGCATGATTTATCCACAAAATCAAATACCTATACAGACATGCATTGTTGTAAAACCGTAAATTTGAGCACTTCAAAAATGTATGATTTTACCGTATGTTTGATTAATATATCACAACATTACTTACACTTTTCACAGATGGTGGAATTCTCTTCCAAAGAAACTTTGCCTGGCACCTTCAACAGAATTTTATATAGAATATCACAAACTTGAAAGGGCTATTTATACATCTCAATGCAATTGTCAGTTCATTCAATGGACAAGTCATGCATCAAATTTAAGACGGTTTATCTGGGAATATTGCATTTTATGTGATAACACATACACTGTATACTGTATTATATCATGTCTGGTAATAACTAACAAGCCCACCCATGTCTTTTGCTGATAAGTGATAAATGAATGTACTAAACACTATTTCATTGTCCTGCAGTAAGGTTTTTCCTACTTTGAATTAATCGGTCGTCCATGGACTGAATACGAGATAAATACCAAAACTTTAACTTTGAGTCTGAATTTTTGTGTTGAGAACACCTGGACTGCTTAGTGCAGAAAATGTGGTCAGTTCAACAACTTACAACTGGACCTTAAATCCCACTACCCTCTCCATGCAGCGTTTTTCTTGAATCAATATTAAGGTTTTAAGCAGCAGTTCTTGTCAGATTTATTCATAGTAGTCCTTAACACTATTTCCAAAACTTTGATGAGTCCCATTACAAAGAGATATACATTGTAGTGGTTTCTCAAAATTTGGACAAGTTTTCTGCAAAATAAGGTGGAATCCAAGACTCAAATATCTGAATCCAAAAAAAAACCAGACTTTACAAACTGATCATCTCTAAAAAAAAAAAAAAAGAAATGTATTTCAAAACAGTGAAACACTCGGGATGAAAAATAATGAGGAACAGTTATTTATGAAAACTCAATATCAACTATGGTACTGTAATATTGAAAGAATACCAATACTCACATTTCATTATGAAGGAGATACAAGGCGAGAAGTTGACTGTATAATATAGGGGATCCAACTCCACCCGGAGCCTGAAATGTCAAAGTAATCCATTTAACATGTCACTTAAACAAAGAGGTTGGTGGTTTATGTCAACATGGTTTACATATGATAAGAATTTATTATTATCATGTTTGTTACCTGGATATTGTGATAGCAGACCACTTAGGACAACTCCCTCTGACCTGTCTGGCTCCTGTACATAAGCCAGGGACATTGAACACCATATGACAAATATGTGGAAAATAAAAAGGTTATAAATCATTTTGTCCTGATGCCTTATATTAGAAATCCCACTGACATTGGCTGTTTATGTCTTCTATTAAAATCAAGAGTTATAACTCATTCCCTCCAACGAATAATGATAATCCAGCACTTAAGGTGCCAATGATCTTGTGCAACTCTCTGAGGCTGCAGCCGCCCATTCAGAGCTTCAAATGCTACAGTTTGGGAATTAAAATCTGAAAATGAACTGATTTAACTCCATTCCAAAATGTGCTGCCTTCATTTTTTTATGATATGAAAACTTGAAGAAGTGCTGATATGGAGACATCGTCTCATAAATCACACTCTTGAAAATTTTACAGTGATCAAGTGGATGGGTGAACAAGACATGGACAAGTGAAGAAACCTTAATAATGTACAGTTTTTGTAAAAACAAACAACTTGATTATCTGAAATCAAAATAACATTTAATAATCAGAGAGAAAATAATTAACAATTAAGATATATTGTCCTATTCATGAAAGAGAAAAGTTCTACTTTCCATTAGAGCTGCCTTGATTGCCCTTAAATGAACAAATCATCAATGTTGTATGTTGTGCCATAAGCTTGTATACCACTTTTGCTTGCTTACAACTACATTTGATAATACAAGAATATACATCTTCATTTATTTATAGAATATCTGAACTTATTTTGTATGACATATGTTGATTTGGAATTTAATATGCTATGCATATATTCTGGTACCTGAGGAGAAATTTACTTCTGCATTCAATGAAATGTTGATATAGAACCAGACATTGACAGAACATTGTCTATCACCTATAAGATGACAATACAGTATATATGCTGAGTCGAAAATTAATAATTAAATTCAAATTTAGATTCTATTCAACTTGGCATGACTCCATACTGTTTATTTGCTTTATCTACATATAAAATCATAATGCATATCTTGCATGGGTGCATTTAGTGTAAATATCATAGGTGAGCATGAATTTACCTGTGTTTTATTTCAGCCACACTATAAGCAGTTGATAAGCAATGAAAGAGAAAAAGTTTATGATTTTAACAAAACAAATAACCTGAATTATCCCTTTTTTGTGTTAAATTGTACAATATTCTATTGGTCATTGGGCCAAAAGTACTAGCCTCGTCTTTCAATACACTCTCACACTAATAAAGGTATATAACTTTATCGCCCTAGTAAAATGACCCATTTTCAGGAAAATTGTGATGGTCAATAAACATTTCAAGATATCATGCAGAGAGTGTTCTGAATCGACAGATATTTTTTCCCTTCAACTTGGTATACGATTCACTATATATTATGTCCTAAACTATCGCCTGACTTCAGCAAACATTGTTAAATTTTCAGATATCACTTAGTCGGACACTTACCTTGCAGCGAAATCAGACACGGTAGCCATCTCTCAAACGCAGGGCTATTGCAATTACCAATTTGTGGTATTGCGTCCAACGTGTTGAACGATTTAATGACCATCACCGAAATTGGGTCGTTTCGACAGAGTTACACGCTTTTATTATTGTATGAGTGTATTGACAGACGAGGCTCGTACTTGTAAATGGGCCATGTCAAAAATATGACGTCCATTTTTGTTGTAGATGTATAAAAGAACTCCATACGTTTCTTTTTCTAAATGACCCTGCATTTAAATAACTGATAATGCAGGACCAATATGCGGGATCGTGCCACAGACACCAGGCTCGTCTGTCAATAATTAGCGTGTATTGAAAGACGAGGCTAATTCCTGTGGTTGTTTTCAACTCCAGACACGGACAGAGCAGACCTCCGTCAGTGTTATGTGGCCGAGTCGAGTCGTTTTGGGCTTGTTGTGTTATATCCATTACAAAGAGTATAACTTAATTAGATTCAGAAAGACTCTATATAAACCAACCTTCAGCTCCTGCTCTTCTAAGTCCTTTTGCATGTCGACAAAGTTCAGAGAAGCAACTTCGAGCGCCATCTTGGAATTTCTTAATCACATAAATGTTTGCAACTTACTGGAAAACTAAATGCGGACCGGAGGCCGGAAAAAGACACACGAGAGAAGGATACGCCAATTTGATGGTGAAGAGTAAATAAAAGTGAGAAAATGGTAATGTTGTGTTTTGACGACTTTTTATTTTAAAAATGGCGTTTATTCTCAGTACATTCTTATTTTGAAATGAAGTCTTCATACAAAAATAGTTATGTATAATAAACACATTTTTTTTAAACAAGAGTGTTGGACATTAAAAGGTGCACATTAAAATATTATTTTAGAATCATGTTCAAAATCGAAAGAATTGATATTTATACATCCAATGCACAAGTGAATACTTACTGGATGCATTATGGAACAATAGATTTAAGATATTATTCAACAAACCACGAATGTGTCTCCTTTTCGTTGCTATTTGTATTGATTCTATAACCAACAAAACCAGCACTTTTATTAGTAAGTTGAAATTGGTCTGGAAAGTGCAAACATGCATTGACCTAGCCGTGACAATGCTTCAAAACGCTGATTAAAACACAGAGAAAATCTTAGTGATATATTTATTTTTCATTACTCTGTAGATTATTACATTTCATATTTTACTGAATACATGTGAAACACGGACAGACAGACAGACAGACAGACAGACAGACTGACAGACAGACAGACAGACAGACAGACAGACAGACAGACATATAAACAGACAGATGATGATTTTGATGATGGTTGTGGAATATCATCTGTGTTATATCATATTTATTTACTTATTGTTTTTGTCTTATTTCGATCTCCCCTAACACCAGTCTTCTATTGAAGTGTCCGTGAGAGAGATCAACTAAGCCAACCTAATGATATAACAACAAGAATCAGAGATCGGAATAAAATCTGGCCAGTGCTGAAACAGAACTTCATAATACTGCACGAATGTACGGAAAGCGCAAGTGGGGAAAAATCACTATAGATAGATGTCCATTTATCAATTTATGGATATCCCTAAATAATTCTAATACACATGATATGTATTTATGGATATTAATAATTAATCATCAAAATCTTGAAATTTTCATATTTTCGTCCAATGTGGGTTTTTTTTTAGATAAATTTAAGAACCAGGCTTTCCTTGGGCGCTTTATTGTTTCAGTAATACAGTGTGCACCTGAGCTGTGCGTCGAGCACGTGCAAGAATTTCGCGTCTCAAGATCGTATTGACCAATGAAAACGTGAAGGAAAACGGACAACCAATGAGCTTGGACTATTATTAAATTTGCTCAGTGCTGCGACAAAATTTTTAGCGTTGGGCACGAGACTGGTCATTCAGAAAACACCTACTGCGACACCAACATGTAAGTAACATTTTTCTCATATATATTTATGTAATAAGTGTAAAACTTGAAGAAATAAGAATTCCTTTATGTTTTAAACATACCTTTAAGATGTATGTTGTGACTGTAGCGTGACACGCACGAGAAAATGTACACGATTCTCCCCTTTGTGTGACACGGTGTGGCCATAGAAATCTTACTGTACTCTTGTAGTGTCGATATCTCATTCTTTTCACGGGAATAAGAGAACATTTGTGAGTTCTTACAGCTAAAGAGAGTCTCGCCATAGCCATGTCGTAGTTTAAATTAAAACATTGTGAGAACCATGATAATGATTTGGGAGGGATATTACTTATTTCTGGTATAACAAAGAAACTTTTTGGTCCTAAGACGTAGGAAGCCCCCAGTCCTATATAGGTTAATGGACGGGATAATATCTGCTTTCTGTTTATAACAAGCTTTGAATGTATTGAGACTGGATTTCAGAGCAATTCCAAGAGTTTAATGTGTGATGTCCATGATAACTAAGAAGGAAAGTATGAGTTTTTGTATTTTGGATAAATGCTCTGTTTTGATGATTTTTACTCAATAATGTGTGTTTATTTCTCATTGACTGGGCATACAATCATGTTGATATTATTATGAAATTGTTTCCATAGTTACAGCTGTAAAAAATGCAATTTTTTAACAATATTGGAATGTCATAGGGTTTCTAATATCACACTTAAATAAGGGTGGAGGGCAGTACGCATAGGTGCTTGTGATGTCATACACATGACACTTAAGAATATCTAATGTCATATCACTGTTAATTACTTTAGAGAAATGTGTCGGATACTAATTTGAAGTGTTTGTGGGATTTCTAGCCTTCACTATGACATCACAGTGCATTGGTGAAGCCATCATTAGCAATTGATGACGTCATTGTACTGATGACATCAGATGTTACCATGCCATAATATCGGACTATATATATGTAGTATCAATCTGCTTTTCAGTTATCTAAATTCTCAGAAGCACAAACTACTGGATTCAGTTTCAATTGCAATTTTATATAAGTAAATTTAAGACTTATTGAGGTTTTAATTTTCAAATTGCCTCCCTTTCTTCCTAATTTGAGAGCAGAATTGGTCAAAACACACCATGCAGGAAAATATACAATACACGATAGATTTTCGAGATACACAGTAAAAGTGCTATATGGATTTGTTGTTTGATAATTTTCTAAATCCTCAGAAGGATTTTAATGAAATTAAAAAAACTAATTGTGAGGTATAAAGCACATTAAAAAAAATAATTTATTTAAAATGTGCTTTACTATGTTTGATTAAGTTTAATCCTATTCATAATTGCTATAAATACATAAAAAAAAACACTGAAACTTGTTCATAATGATTTTATTTTAATTTCATCTGTGGTGCATAAAGGGAGGTAATTTGGGTGCTCTTATGGGTGAGAATTTCAGCTGTTTTCAAAAGGCTTGGTATCAGTTGAAAAAACTTCTACAGTAGGTAACATGTATACAATAAGTGTAACAACCTTAGAATGTATTAAGACTGGAGTTCATGGCAATTCCAATAGCTTAATGTGTGGTATCCATGGTAGCTAAAGAAGGAAAGTATGAGTTTTTGAATTTTGGATAAATTCTCTGTTCTGATGATTTTTACTCAATGTGTGTATATTTCTCATTGACTGGGCATACAATAATGTTAATATTATTATGAAATTGTTTCCCTAGTTACAGCTGTAAAAAATGCAATTTTTCTAACAATATTGGAATGTCATTGGGTTTCTAATATCACACTTGAATAAGGGTGGAGGGCAGTAAGCATAGGTGCTTGTGATGTCATACACATGACACTTAAGAATATCTAATGTCATATCACTGTTAATTACTTTAGAGAAATGTGTCGGATACTAATTTGAAGTGTTTGTGGGATTTCTAGCCTTCACTATGACATCACAGTGCATTGGTGAAGCCATCATTAGCAATTGATGACGTCATTGTACTGATGACATCAGATGTTACCATGACATAATATCGGACTATATATATGTAGTATCAATCTGCTTTTCAGTTATCTAAATTCTCAGAAGCACAAACTACTGGATTCAGTTTCAATTGCAATTTTATTCAAGTAAATTTAAGACTTATTGAGGTTTTAATTTTCAAATTGCCTCCCTTTCTTCCTAATTTGAGAGCAGAATTGGTCAAAACACACCATGCAGGAAAATATACATTACTTGATAGCTATTCGAGATGCACAGTAAAGTGCTATATCGATTTGTTGATAATTTTCTAAACCCACAGAAGGATTTTAATGAAATTAAAAAAATTAATTGTGATGTATAAAGCACATTAAAGAAATTAATCTTTTTAAAATGTGCTTTAATATGTTTAAGTTTAATCCTATTCATAATTGCTATAAATACATATAAAAAAAACACTGAAACTTGTTCATAATGTATTGATTTTAATTTCATCTGTGGTGCATAAAGGGAGGTAACTTGGGTGCTCTTATGGGTGAGAATTTCAGCTGTATTCAAAAGGCTTGGTATCAGCTGGAAAACAGTTCTACAGTAGATAACAGGTGTAAAATAAGTCTGTAACAACCTTAGAATGTATTAAGACTGAATTTCATGGCAATTCCAATAGTTTAATGTGTGGTATCCACGGTAGCTGAGAAGGAAAGTAAGAGTTTTTGAATTTTGGATAAATTCTCCATTCTGATGATTTTCACTCAATAATGTGTGTATATTCGCAGAGAATTTAATTTTATTCATTTTCAGCTGTTTGATCAATTGGTTATTTATAAATATCCATGAAAACTTGAAAATATGAATATATTTTGATGAAACCTGGGTCTTCAACCTTGGTATTATGGAATCCATTTGATTAAGTTAGAGTTATGGCCCTTTGCTGTTTTATTACTGGTGGGCATTGTTGAAATTGGGTTACATGACTGTTTAGGTCCGGGGGCCTCTTGGTTAAGGGAAAACATCGATCAGTTGCTCTTTTTTTCAAAAACTAAATAAGCTTTAGCAGATGAAAGATGAAGAACACGGACTCAATTGGCATTTGGATTTTCAATTATTGCAGCCTTGTTTCTGACAAATTGGAATGATGACAGCAACTGAATGAAAGTGGAATTTTATTTGAAATGTGATGCCTGTATAGTTTTGATTAAAATAATTTGAAGAGAAAAAAAAATTTAGAGATACACAATGTGACACTGACCTAGGAGAGTATGGTTGAATTCCATGACCCTGAATATGGGTGAATTCCATAACCCTAATGTCTTGCATTTCTCTGGAGAGGTAAAATTAACTACTAGATTTTTTTTCAACATTTTATAAAATTTTGATTTCAACACCAATCAAAAATATTTTACAGATGGATCCTTGAATGAGCTGACTAGTGTGGATGTACTAGACCTCACATGGCTGTAATGGTTGGATTGGAGGATCGTGGCTGTAGGTTACAGAGAGGTTTTAACACGATGAATGCCAAATAGTGTGAATGTTTTGCTGAAAAATCTTCTAAAATCATTTGTGTGTGATTTTTGAAGATTTTTTGTCGAAATAAGCACCATGGTGTAGAGCATCTGCAATTTCACCAAACTAGTGGGTATTCAGTGTTTTTGTTGATAATCTAAAATATTAAATTCTCTC